CCTACTGTTTCATTCCTGTGTCAGTCTGATCTGTGCCAAAGGTAACTTTGTGTCATCCTGTTGTTGGCATGCTCCTTTTCTAGCTCGGTAAGTGTGTGGCCCACTTGATTCCCTGGGCTGTTCTGCTGGGCCCCCGAGCCCCACAAACCCTGCTGGACACAAGCTCACTGTGTGGTGCCTTGGGCACCAGCAACTCCTGCTCTCCTGGCTCGCACTGTCGCGCTGAGCTCTGGGCTGTGCTCCCTTCTCCAGCCAGGGCGGGGGTCCTGCGCTAGCTGCCTCTTCAGGACCCTACTTGAATAAGCAGCTCTTCTCTCCCCTCCCGATACAGGACTCACTACCAGAGAAGCTGGCTGTGCATGAGAAGAATGTCCGAGAATTTGATGCCTTTGTAGAAACCCTGCAGTAAAAGTTGGTGTCCACGGGTACCAGCAGCATCCCCTTTCTGTGGTCCCAGGAGACAGAGCCTCCCACTCATCAGCTGCTCCTATCCCTCATCTTGCTCCAGGTGGAGGAGAGGCTGGTTTCCCCCATGGGGACCCGGAAGTCCCTGTTCTGACACCTCCTGGAGACTCCATGGCAGCAGTCAAGCCTGGTGATAGCATTTGAGAGACTCACCCCCTGGCCTTGGAGATTAGAAGACCCTTTATAACAAAAGGGCCCTCGGCAGGGCCATCTGCTTCCACCACCCATCAGCGACTGCTTCACAATGGCTGTCATCCCGTTCCTCCTGCCGGCCCCCTGCCTTGGGTCCGCCCTGCAGCTGCCCCTTGCTGACTTGCCGTTACCATCAAGCACTTGACATTCCAGCTCCTGGCCCAGAGCCTGGCGTGGAGGCAGAAAGAGGAAGGAGACAGTGCTGGGAGGAAGAAGGAAGGGCTCCTTTAGGCTCTTTTTTGGTCCCCTTTGGTTTGATGTCTTCTTCCTCTCTCCTTCCCTCTCTGCGCCCCTGTGCCTGTACTTTTGGCAATATGACAGGCCTCTTGCCCAAGGTGGCGAGAACTCCAAAGTCAGCCATTCCCACCCTTGAGGGTTGTGCCAGCCCATCTCTCAGCGGAGGCTCTGAGCAGCCCTGGTGGCTGTCTGTGCTCAGCTCCTCAGCTCCATGGAAGCAGAATCCTGGGTCTCCAGGGTTCTCTCATTGGGAGTCACAGCAAAGGTTCTTTTTCTCTCCTTCCGCCCCCTGTTGCTGCTCCTTGGTTATAAAACACGGTAAATATTTATTACTTTTCAGAGAAATCAGATATTTTATAGAGAAAATATGTTTGAGGTTAGATGTTTTCACTTGGGGAAGATGGAGGGCCTCTTCCTGGAGTAGGGCCTCCTCCTCAGGAGGTCCCTCAGATTCTGGGTTGCTGCTCTGAGGATCTTCCTTCCCGTACACATAAGGTGGGATCCAAGAATAGGGGTGCCTGAGGGCAACGGAACCTCCCAGAATCGCTGCACTTGAACTGATGACAGGCTTTACCTTAGACTCCTACATATTCCTGGTGAGAGCCTTGAATCTCTCTCAGCTTCTGCAGAGCAACTGACTCCATTCTGGCAGCCCAGGAAGTCTTGGGTGCTAGATGTGTACAACTCTGTGTGTACAACTAACAACTCTCTGAGTCGTACAGTGACATAGAGTGCAATGTATGTGCCCCACTGCGGCCCCGGGGAAGGCCAGAGGGGCCCCTCCTTCTGGGGGGACTTGTTTCCGTTTCTCAGGGCTAGGTTATGGGCCTTTTCCTCTTTCCACCTGGGCCTAGCCACCACCTTTCTTTAATCCCAGGGTCTGCACCCTGTCCTGAGGTTTACTGGCTGGATTGGTTCCTTGTTGAGAAACCAAAGCTAGGCATATGATTGACTTAACCATTTAGGTATTGTTCCTTGAGTCAGTCAAGCACTTAGCCTCACCCACCTACCATCTCTCCCTCCCCTAGCCTACCCAGTAGTCCTGGCCAAGGGAAACAAGGCCTGCCCCGTTCCTCCTGGCCCACCTGGGCTGTTATTGGTGGCAGCTGTTCTGCCTTGGAGCAGGTGGTCCTCAATTGCTTGTTAGTAAATGCATGTGACATCGTTCCCACCGACAGGGCTGAACTCTGAGGGCTGGAGTGCGCTCTGAGGCTGTCTCAGGTAGGCTGAGCCCTGCCCCTGTTGCATGCATTCTGCTGCCACAAAGAAATGTTCCCAGCAGTGGTGTCCAGCTGGCCCTCCTCTCTTTCGGGGCCACAGTGCACCCATAGCCTGCTAAACCAATCCAGATCTACCCCGCAGGCCCCAGTGCTGAGAGGGGTGAAGCCCTGGTAAGCTGTTGATCACCCCCGCCCCCACATCCTGCCACAGCATCTCAGCCGCTGTCCTGAGGCTGAGCACGGGAAGGCCTGTTAGCCATTGTCCTCTTTGACTCCTGATTGTTGGCCTTTGCAGGCAGCAGGCTTTCCTTTAGGACCCCATCAGTGAGAGGCCAGGGAGGCTGAGCCCTGAGCTGAGAATGGGAGGAGCAGAGCAACTGTCAAGGCTGGCCCTCGGCCCCGAACACTGACAGGGATGAGCCCTAGACTGAATCCTGCAGCAGCCCCCGGGACAGGGCTGGGGCCTGTCACCCGTCTCCAGGTGGCAGAGTCCCTCCGCATCCTCCAGCCCACCTTGTTTGGAAATACTGAGCTATACTTTAAAACGTATTCGAGAGATTTCCAATAAATTTTTTCTGTACTTGACAACCTCCTGTCCTGCCAGTTGTCTAAAGTGCTAACCCACGCGCTCCCGCTTGTGTGTGGGCCCCGCTAACCGACGGCCCCTCCGTGGGAGGAAGAGCAGTGGATGCGAAGTGCAGAACGGCTTCGGAGTCAGGCAGGCTGGTTTGCATCTTGGGGCTCGGCCACCTGGCCGCGGTGCCACCTTGGGTTGATGAGGAAACAGTGCCTCGTTTTCTTGGCTCTACCGTTCCCATTTTGGGGGCTTGTATGTGACTGGTCAGTGAGATACCGTGTGTGAAGCCGACACGCAGAGCAGAAGCCCCCTTAGACGAAGGCCAGCATCGTCATCAGCTGCTTGTGCAGCGTCGCTCCCCCGACTCAGCCTGGAGGCAGGAGCCTTTGGCTCGAGGAAGAAATGCCTGCCAGGCCTCTGCCACGCTTCCAGCAGGAGCAGGGCAAGGGGGCCTCCCTCAGCTGCTGGGATCTGTTTGCTAATCTAGGGGGGAGGTGATGTGGCTGAGCAAACCAGAGGGGAAGGGGCTGAGTGAGGTATCAGGAAGTCAAGGGCCCATCAAGTGTGTTTAGCTGCCCCATCTGCCAGACAGCTCAAGCGGGGCGCTGGGGTGCTCCCTGAGGAGTCATGATGACGAGTAGAAGAGCCCGCGGGGATTATTCCTGCCTGGCCCCCCGGAGGCTTCTGTGGCAGGCCTGTCAGTCCTGGTAAAGCTAGCTCCCGCCTCCTAACTTGTGCCTAACTGGGCCGCGGGAGTGGGAGGTGGAGCCAGTGTCCCAGAGGCAAAGATGGTTCTAGAGGCAAGGGACTAACTGCCTGACAGACGGGGGCAACTGTAGTGTGGGTTGCCTCCCTGCCCCCACTTCAGGCTAAAGCCAGGGCAGAAAACGGTGAGAAAGTTCTAAATTCAGCCCAAAGCTAGGGCTGAAAAGGAGGCTGCTCACTGCTGCTGCTGTGGGCCCTGGGAGCCCTAGCTTGTTGGTTAACTGCACCTGACATTGGCCGTGATAACGGACCGTGCAGCCGGCTGGGACAGAGTCACCCAGCTACTGAGTCAGAAGTGAAGAGACTGTCCCTTGTGTCTTCACCTTCAGTTGGGAACCGCCCCCCAAAAGAGTGTTCACTTGCCACGTGTCTCATGATGGTGTCCTGCCCCTTTAAAGCATCTCGTGACACTTGGTCCCCAGACACCTGCTGTTGCCAAGGCAGGGGTAAACTGGCTTTTGAGTCACTCCGCAGAGGCCCTGCCAGGAGCCCAACCCGAGTAAACAGCTCTCCTGGTCTGCTCCCCTCTCAGAGTTGCCCTGGGATACTGCTCCTCTGTTGTAAGCAGTCACCCAGTTTAGAGCAGAGCCAGTGAGAGGCTGCCAGGACCTTCCGCTGGGCCAGCTCAGGGCCTGTGTTTGTCACCACCAGCTTCACACCGCTGCTTGATCCTGCAGCTCTGGCCCCGCTCCCCCAGCCGGAGCAAGCAAGGAGGGGAAAGAGAACAGGCCACCATCACCTGACTCATCAACAGGCAGGCCGCAGACAGGTGCAACTTGACACTGACCGCTGTGCCAAGAGAAATTCTGGCCTGCCTTCCAATGACAAACCATTATCTTTAAATTGTGGCAAAATACACATAACTTAAATTTTGCCATCTTAATGTTTAAAGCGCAGCAAAACCTAGTCAAGAGACGAAAGGAAAACTGGCTCTCTCCTAGCCTCGGTGGGACCGGGTGGCAGGTGGAAATGGCCAAGGCGCTCAGGCTGAGGGGAGGGTGGGGAGAAGCTAACAGTCACACGAGGCTTCCAATCGTAGCTGCTACACGAGGTTGGGACCATCTCCTCATTCCTCTGTGCAACAGTGGTCATTCTGGTCACCACTGGGCACTTGCTCTGTTAGTCCTGTGTCACTTCAGAGCCTCAGAAATGAAGAGGCCGTTCCAGGTAGGCTGATGATATGGCTGTTATCAAGCGGAGCTGGTCGAAGGTGATGGCGCCAGGACTCAAGCCCATGTTGCTCTCGCCACAGTCCCTTCTGTTCAGGGCCAGAAGGGGCTGTGGTCATGGGGTACTGCCCTTGGCGGCCCATTGGGATGCTGCACACGTACAACATGGGGTCACTGTTCACACGTCCAAGCCTGGAGGACGTCAGAAAGCCGGCTTCACACCCACTCCCAAGGGAACGAGACAAGGAAGGACGAGGTCAGATGGACTGGGGAGGGGGACTTCCTGAGGCCCCACCTGCTCATCTTCCACAACCACACACTTCTCAGCCTGTTCTGAGCCTCCAGGCGTGCTTCCTAACACCCGGGGGGGCGGGGGGCAGTTTTCCATCTCCTTTTTTATTGAAATACAAAAAGTGCAAAGGTGAAATACATGATTGGTGCCCAGGAAGTCATTAAGTGTGAATGTGAACACTTGATTCACAGTACTCTCCCCTCCCCCCGGGGACAGACCAGTGGGACAGGGGACAGGAGAAAGACCAGAGATCTATGAGGCTCCCCAGTAAATGGGGCTGTGCGTAACACCTGGTACACAAAGGAGGGCAGAAAGCAGAAGCCCGGCTCGGGCCAGAGACACAGGGACTGACAAGGAACCAGCAGCCACTCCAGGCCCCCAGGAGTCCTGACATGCTAGCATCTTCGGGGGAGAGCCCAGTGAGGTCAAGACTGAGGCCACACCCACCACACAGATGGGGCTGGTCTGGTCAATGAGGGCCGCCACGGTACAGACTCGGGCCAAGGCTAGGGGGCCAGGGCCACTGTGCAGGTACTTCCCTCTGCTGCCAGGGGACAAGACTGCAGGAAGTGGGGTCCCCGGGGTTCACCAAGAAGGCGGGTAATTCTAAGGAACACAGTTGGGATGAGAAGTACCAATGATCGGGGTCCAGGGTTTCTTAAAGACGACAGGGCCCTGGGGGACCTTGCTAGAACTCCCGTGGCAGGGCTTGACTTAATTAGCAAGGTCTCTGCTCAGCCCCTCCAGGAGTCACTAGCTGGAGGAAGAAGCCACAGATCCTGAGGCACTGAGTCGCTTCTGGCCGGAGCAGGGACCTGTGTGACCCCACCACAGACCCGCCTACAAGTGCTTAGGCTGAGGATCTGCGAGAGTGGGAAGGGAGGGGAGGCAAGGCATGGAGGGCTGAGACTGCTTGTCACTGGCCCGACCAGACACAGGGGGCTTCTGGGTAGGAATGGAGTGTCTGTTTCAGATGGATGCTGGGACTCAGCCCTATCATCCAAGCTGCCAGTCCTGGCAGAACCAGGGGGCAGGAACATCCTGGGGGCAGTATCACTTGAGAAGGGCTGACCCAGGATGTGTGCAAGAGAAGGAGGCAGAAGTAGGAAGCAGCCTCTGGCCTTGCCAGTCCTTAGCTGTGTCAACACCCAAGGCTGAACCTTTAGAGGGGAGGACAGCAGCAGATGCTTTGCGCACAGGCCTTCACCGAGGCTGGGAGGTGCGTTGGTAGGGCGGGCCCAAGCCAGCCCAGCTCAGCTGCTTACCCCCCAGCAGCCAGGAAGGGGACCAGCCCCAGCTACCAGCCCAGCTGGCATGACAGAGGCATCTGCAGTTGCCAGGAAAAGAGAGGCAGGGGAAAGTGGGGAAGCAGCTGCTGGGGCCAGTCTTTTTCCCCGCCGGTTAGAGCCAAGGCCAGGTCTGCAGAGCCTGGCAAGGAGCCAGGGATCCAAGGAGGCAGTGAGAAGTATAAGGCGAAGAAAAACGTCTCGTGGTTACAGCGAGGACTCCAGGGCTGGCGAGGCGGGCTGGACAGAAGGGGAGGAAGAGCTGCCCGGCTGGCTGGCCCCAGCTTCCAGCCCGCAGGGGCTCACGGCCCCTTCATGGGCAGGAGCCCCAAGCTCCGATAAGGCTGAAGCCAGGAGGAAGAGTCCCAGTTGGGGCTCTCCAAGAAGGGGCAGCAGGGCAGGGCTCAGAGCCCCCTGGAGTCAGGGCTGGGGAACAACTCCCCTTGGTGATCCAGAAGGAACTTGGTGAACGTGTTGATGGGATTAATGGCCTTGAGGGTGATGGCAGCATCCTTGGCCCACAGCAGGTTAGGGCCAAAGACAACAGCCAGGTTAGTGTTGGTCATCTTGTTCTGGTCACAGTGGGCAGAAATCTGTGGAGGGAATCAGGGGGCTACAGCAGGAAGCCACAACCCTGCTTCCCATACCCGGGAGCGGAGGGGTGGCGGCCCCTCCCCCCTTCCTCCCGGTGAACAGCAGAGGCTGAGGCCCCAGGCTCACCTGCACCAGGAAGGCAATGAGGAAACGAAGCACCTGGTAGCTCTCCTCAGGCAGCGTCCGGAGCACCTGCAGCGTCGCTTCCACTCTCTGGCTCTCATCAATGTCTGCAAGGAACCAGGGCCCAGGTCACAGTGGCCCGGCGACGGGCCGACACGAGGGCAGAGGGGAGACCCCACCCAGACTGTCCTTGGAGGACAGGCCAAACCTGCCTGCTCTGAGTCCAGCCCTGGCTCCAACCCAGCAGAAAAAACACCGAGCTGGGGAGGGAAGACAGGCACTCACTGAGGAAGCCCACAACGTGGGGGTAGAGGTCAAAGGTGAGCAGGGGCTCAGGAAGCTCCCGGAGGAAGGTCTTGAGGATGACAGCCGGCAGGTGCAAATCATTGTACTGGTCGAAGTCCACTGGCAGCCCTGGAGGAGGGGGTGGAGAGGAGCTGGGCCTAGCCTGGAGGCCGGCAGCCCATCTAGAGGCCTGGAGGCCAAGCAGACCCCACTGCCCGCAGCCACTGCACCAGCCCCCTCCTCCTGTGGAGCCTCCTCTTGCACAGCCTTCCCCTCTTGCTCTGTGATGAGGGGACCGGGTAGGATGGGGCCTCCCAGCACACGCTACAGTGATTCCTCATCTCTGAATGAACCTGGAACCCGGGACCCAGAAGCCTGAGCGATGAGACAGCAGGCCTGGGACAGCCAGGTGGGAGCAGAACCCATGCAATCAGCCCAAATGCCACAGAACCTCTGACAGGAACGGAACGTGGGGCCCCTGTTTACGGGGGAGAAGGCAAAGAAGCCCCTTCACAGTCACACTGATGCCCCCATCCTCCCCCCACCCCTCCACAGGATCTGTACTGGCCCTGCGGGCCTGGGCACACCCTCAGACCACTCACCCATGTTGTACTTCTGCTGTACTTCCCGTACAACTTGGGTGTTGGCTGACCTCCGGAAAATCCCCTCAGTGGTGAGAGCTGGGAAACAGCGGGGCCCGGTTAGTCTCGGCTCTGGGGCAGGGTGTAGACGCCTGGACCCGCTCTGTCTCAGGGCTCCAGGCAGGGTCGGTGTGGGCGCTGGTTGCACGTGGGGCCTCTCAGCCCTGCCCAGCACCTTCCCGAGGGGAGCTGGGAGACAGGGCTGAGGAGGGGCTTGGGGTCGGGGCTGAAGGGGAAGGGGCAGGTCCTGGAGGCCCTGTGGCCAGTGAGCGGCCTTGGCACTCACCGTGGGCCTGCAGGTAGGCAACGGTCTCCCGGAGCACAAGAGGAATGGGCTCCTGCTCTGGGTTCTTCTCCTGGAGGCTGTTGGGAACAGGGGCAGTGAGCGGGGGTTTGAGCGGGGTCTGCCGCCCCCACGTGCCAGGCCTGCCCACCTCTCCTATACTCACTGCTGCAGCGAGACCCCGAACTGCTGGTTGGGCAGAGGGGGCCGTGGTGGCATGGGCTTGGGGGCCGTGGCAGGACTCTTCTGTGTGGATTTGAGGAAGTCGTCATACCTTGGGGAGGCAGATGGAAGGGTCAGGCCACCGACCTGACTTTGTAGTCACCTTGTTTGTCAGGCCCTTACTGTGCTCCTGCACAGAGTCACTTCGTTTGGCCCTCCTAGCAACCCTGCTCTGCCCACAACCAAGTCAGGGCCGAGGGGCTCTTTAAGCGACAGAAACAGGATCCAAACCCACGCTCCCTGAACCCGTGCGTGGGCTCTTCATCACTACCTTCACTTCCTCTGCTCACCCGGGGCTTCTCGAGGCTCCATCTCCCCTTGGCTGGCATGTTCTTCCCCCCCGCCCCCCCGCAAGCATGACATACCCATACACCTAGCCCGGCGGGCACACACAGCCCTTGCCCCCTCCTCACTTGAGCACTTGGCGAGGGATCCCCAGTTGCTCCAGCTTCACATGCTCGCTCAGCTCGCTCAGGTAGTTCACATAGAAGATCTTCTGCCCAAATTTGAAGCTACCGGCAGAATAAAGGGCACAGGTAGGCATATTTCGGCAGGCCTCCACCATCCCCTCAGCAGCCCCCCAAGATCAGACAATGGCTGAGCCCCACAATGGCCTGTCTCCAGGATGCTTGGCCTCCTCAGGTATCTGGTTCAGAGTTCAAAGGGAAGCATGGGGAGGCCACTGTCCTCCCCCATTAGCCCCACTCACCTAATGATGGGCTTAAAGAGGATAAGCAGGGTCTTGATGAACATGGTGGGGTGCACGATGTACAGGGCCTTAATATTCTTCTTGTACCTGCAGAGAGACAACAGGAACTCAGCAGCGGGTGTGCTGGGAGAGGCACAGAGCTAGGTTCTCCGGGTACATTTTCTGATTTGTGTCCTCAGGGAAAGCCTGAGAGGTAAGTGCCGTGGTAGTCCCATTTTACAGATCAGGAAACAGACTCAGAGAGGTTAAGTACCATGAAAGATCACAGACCGAGGAAGTACAGAGACTGGGATTTAAGCCCAGGGTGTTCCAACTTCAGATTCTTTGCTTTCACCCAGGCGGGGGCGCCTGCTTCCCTCCAGCACAGAGTAAGCCCCTGAGCAAGCAGAGGGCAGCCTGGAACCTAGCAGAGCTGCTGGCTCCACAGCCCCCTGCCCCCGGGCCCCAACCCACTTGCGGTCAAACTCGCGGTAGGCATCCCGGAGCCAGCTGAGGGAGGGCTTGTTGTCGCTGGTCAGGCCGTGGTGCAGGTAGAGCAGCGTGTAGTCGCTCTCCACGTACTGGTCCAACGTGCGCTTCAGGTACCTACAAGAGCAAAGCCCCACCCGGTTCAGGAGGGGCCCCCGGAGACACGACCCGGCACCCCAGGGGTCCCCTGCTTCTATCCTCCGCCTCGGTGTACTGCCTGTTCTGGCTGCACAGTCACCCGCTGCACTGTGTGGAGGAGGTTCAGGGTCGCAGCTGGGCTGGGCGGAGGAAGAAGAACAGCAGTCCTGGCCAGAAACCAGGAGACCAGGACTGGAACTGGAGCCCTCTGGCATACCTGCAGGAAAAATGGGAGTAACACTCCCCGCGGGACTGCCCAGAGTCGACCATAATGATGACAGTCACCATTCATCAATATTTAGCTTTTAGTGTCTGCCAAACGCTCTGCGTACATTATCTCATGCCTTCCTCGTAACAGTTGGGGCTGAGACTATCTCCTCCTTACACGGGAGGGCAGTGAGGCTCGGAGAGGTTACGCGCTTACCCAGAGTCACACGGCTTGTGCCGGGGCCCGGAGATGGACTAGCTCCCAAGTTCACCCTGCTGACCACACAGGCAGGCGTGTGCAGTGTCTAATGCGGGATTACTACTGTGATTCCAGCCCTTACTGCGGTACGGTAATTTAGCCCTTGTACACTTCGCAGCTTGCAAAGAGCTGTCACATGAAAAGATGCATTTTGCAACTATAAAACAGCAAAAGTTGTAGTGACAGTACACCTCCCCTTCGCTGGATGTTATGGCGTTTTGGAGGGCCATAAAGTGATGTTTATCAGAAGCTAAAAAATGTTCATACTCTTTGACCCTGTAAAAACATATCCAGGAAGTTATCCTAAAGAAACAATCAGAAATGAACAGAAGCATTTTTGTCGAAGGCTGTTCAATGCAGCCTGTTTTACAATGGAAAAAACATTTTTTTGAGCAGCAAGCTAACTGTCCAAAAACAGGGAACTGGTTAAATTACAGGCCATCTATAAATAGAATACCTCACAGGATGTTTCTGCAGACAGAAGCAATCTGTGAAGTTAGGCGTCAGGAGAGTGGTTACCCTTTGGGGAAGCAGCTAGAAGAACAAAGGGAGGCTTGTGGGTGTGGATGGGTGTATTTAGTTTCTGAAAATTCATCAATTAGTATGACAATTTACTTTTCCGTACACATGTATGCCAATAACATATTTTTAAAAGATGTCTTTGGGGCGCCTGGGTGGCTCAGTCAGTTAAGCGACTGCCTTTGGCTCAGGTCATGATCCAGGAGTCCCTGGATCGAGTCCCGCATCAGGCTCCCTACTCGGCGGAGAGTCTGCTTCTCCCTCTGACCCTCCCCCGTCTCATGTGCTCTCTCTCTCTCATTCTGTCTGTCTCAAATAAATAAATAAAAAAAAATCTTAAAAAAAAAATAAAAGATGTCTTTGAAGTGTGTTTAGTGTTCAGAAGATAACATTATGTGAAATACAGAGGTGACTATACCAAGGTCTGTATGAGTTATAGAAAAAGGTGAATACACGAAAATATTAACAGCAGTTTTTTTCTCTGGGTGGTAGGTTCATGGGAGATTTTGTTTATCATTGCCTATATTTTTTCTTTATAGTTACATTTTTCTAAATCCTTGAAATCTGTAATACTTTACAAATGTATATGAGGGCATTTCATGTATATTATCTTACCCAGTGCCCATGACAACCCCGTGAGATGGGCACAATTCTTATTTTTATAGGGTTCAGAAGAGACCTGCCCCCAAACACACAGCTAGTAAGAGGCACAGTGAAGTTGAACTGGTCTTCTGAATTCAAGCTTCAGGCACTTTCTCTTTCAACCCCCTAGATGTGGCTGGACAGCGGGAAAGGCCAAGGCTGTGATAATGGAACTGATCTGCGTGGAAAGCACTGCCCCCACAGGCTGCATGGGGGCAGGGAGACCCCTCCGGGAAGGGATGGAGGATGGACAGGATGGATGTCGGGGGGCTTCCAGAAGTCAGAGGAAGCCCCCCGAGTGGTGCAGACTCACTCAGCAAGCTCTCTCCTGAAAACTGGGTGCTTTCCCAGCTCCCTCCTCTGACTTCCTCCCACTCAGACTATTCTCTGGCCAGGAGTCTGTCACCTGTCAACTCAGTTGCTGGTGAAACCAAAGGGTAGGGTGTGTGACTCAGCTACCCTCAGGCTGAGCCCCCTGGCCTGTTCCTGGCTGGGCCATGGGATGGGCCTCAATAAGGCTCTGTCTGCCCAGCTGAGGGGTGACAGGAGCAGGGCTCCGAAAGCCTGAGAGAAAACTCCCACAGGGCTGGAAAGCCTCAGGCCTGGCTCACCAGGACTGCAGACTCCTCAATCAGGCCCTTCCCCTTCTGCAGCTGTCCCTGACCCCTCCCCTCCCCCTACACACACACATAACCATTCAGGATCCCAAAGGGCTGGTAGGAGCAGTGCAGACGCTTTCAGTTTCAGGGAGTGCTCTAAAGAGATCAGGAAAGAAGTGCAAGAGGCTAACGGGACACACACTGAGGCGCCTCAGGAGAAGTCCGTTAGGGCTCTACCTCCAAGGAGGTCCGTTGCGTGCCGGGGGCCCACTGGTGGCTCAATAACGACTGCTTATCAGAACAGGGTCTGTCAGGGGCGCCTGGGTGGTGCAGTCGGTTAAGTGTCCAACTCTTGGTTTCAGTTCAAGTCATGATCTCAGGGTCGTGAGATCGAGTCCCATGCTGGGCTCTGCGCTTAGCACAGAGTGTGCTTCTCCCTCTCCTTCTGCTCCTCCCCCTGCCCTTTCTCTGTCTCTCTGAAATAGATAAATAAATAAAATCTTTATTTTATTTTTTTTAAAGATTTTATTTATTTATTTGACAGAGAGAAAGCACAAGCAGGAGGAGCAGCAGAGGCAGAGGGAGAAGCAGACTCCCCACTGAGCAGGGAGCCCGACGTGGGGCTCGATCCCAGCACCCTGGGATCATGAACTGAGCTGAAGGCAGACACTTAACCGACTGAGCCACCCAGGTGCCCCATAAATAAAATCTTAAAAAAAAAAAACAAAAATACAGGTCTGTCAAACTCCTGCTTGCAATCAGCTTTCCAACTGGCATCAGATTTCTAGACCAACCAGAGCTATTCCATATATTTGCTAACAGAACCCAGACAGGTACAGAGGCCACTGGCTCCAAATAACACCAATCATTCATGTAAATGATGAACTGCAAGCACAGCAGAAGCACCGCATCATAACCATCAGTCCGCACCCAGGGATGGTATTTTACTTTTCCAAGCATGTTCGTGTGCAGTATCTCTATTCTACAAAGAAGGAGAGCTGCATTTTGATGCCCTCGGTGAAGGAAAACTGGCTTAAAGAGATGAAGACACCTGCCAAGGTTGCAGTTTCCCGGACTAGAAACCAGGTCCGACTCTTAGCCCGGTGCTCTCCCCCAAATGTAAAGAATAGCTCCCTCGGGAGTAGAGGGGAGGCGTGGAGGGAGATGGCTTGATACCTCTGGGCTGGAAGTGACAGGAAGGAGAATGGCATCAGGTGATGGGGGGTGTTGGGGGGGTCTGGGCCCCGGTCCCACCACCTTCCCCGTGGATACTCACCCCAGGAGTTTGCTGTGGTCCAGCTGGTGGCTCGGGGGCATTCGGCAGGCACTAAACACAATGATCTTCCGCCCATACTTGTCATCTCCTAGGTGTGGAGAAAGGTGGAGCGGTGAGTGGAAGATCAATGGAGAGAAGCGGGGTGAGGAACTGAAGGGTGCCAGGCCTGGAGACCCATGCCATGTAGTACAGGGGCCAGAGCGGCCGAAGTGGAGCCACCTCTGGGCAGCTGTCTGCACTCAAACATGTGTCGCTGAAGAAAGAGGGACAGGTTGCTCTCGGGGCTACTGAGCTGGGGTCTAAAAAAATAACGTGACTTTGTAAAAAGTCACACCTGGCAGAAACATCCACCTGCCCATCAATGCGTGAATGGATAAAGAAAATGTGGTGTATCCATGCAGTGGGATATAAGTTGGCCATAAAGAGGAATGAAGTACTGATCCATGCTACATTGTGAATGGACCTTGAGAACATGGGGCTAAGTGAAAGGAGCCAGACCCCAAAGGCTACCTATTGTATGACTCCGTTTATAGGAGTTTATCTAGAATAGGTAAATCCACAGAGACAGCACATTAGTGGTTGTCAGTTGCTGGAAGAGGGGAGATTACAGATTGGCTGTTTATGATTATGGGATCTGGCATGGGTATGGATGAAATTGTGCGACTAGACAGAGGTGGCTGCACCCCACTGTGAATGTCTGAAATAGCACCAACTGCACATTTTAAAATGGTTAACTAAAAAAACTGAAAGTCACATCCACCAAAGCAATTGTTACCTTGTGGAACAGTCACCTTAAAAGCCCATGCTTATTCCAGAAGCACCCCCTCTGAGCAGCGTGTATTTGGAAAACGTCTTGACACTGCCTTCTCAGCAAGTCCAAGGCCAAGGAGGACACGGGAGTGATTACTTAATGGTCAGGTCTCTTTTTTGACCACTAGCAGCACTTTCTGACTGTATTACTAGGATTATTAACCACACTTGGTTCTGATTGACTTCTGGACATTTCTAAAAATCATATCCTTTATCATGAATGATATTCTAAAGAACATGGAGTTCAGAGGAGTTTGTAATGCTTTGGGAAAAATGCTCATTTGGCTGTAATTGCTCAGGGGTGTTCATCCAAAACTGGTCACTATTTGATGGTCTGATCATCTGGCTTTGTCAAGAAGCGGGGGGCTCCTGCCCTCCAAGGTGAGATGCTCTTCCAGTGTCAGGACGGATCAGGGATACCAAACAAAGCTCAATGAGGACAAGGCCTGGTCCCCACTCTCACACATCCCAGGAACCCTGCCTACGTCTTTACCTTCACACCTCTCCAGAGACACCAAACCACACTTGCCTAATCCCCATTGCTTCAGAGGCAAATGAAAATACCAATACAACCCATGAAATGCATGGAGTCTGTCCTCCACCTACCTCTGAGGATTAAGGACCACCCCCCCGCCATGCCTTGCTGAGTGTCCTTCTCCATATTTAGTAAACCATGATCTTGATGCTTCTTCTCGGTCAGAGACCTAACCCAGGAGTCAGTACTTTTCCAAAGTGGTTGCCAAGGCTCTGACCCTTTTCTGCAGGGCTGAGGCAAGACTCATCAGAGGGGCTGAAGGAGGCTTCTGGAATGCAGGCAGCGTGGCTCCAGGCGCTGCTGGCTGCACGGCTCGGTGCCTTGGCCTGATTTCGCACCTCAGTGCCAGCAGTCTGACTATCATGTCCAACCTCTAGATCAGCCCCTCCAACAATCCCATTTCCACCCAAAACACCCCCTGAGCCTGGTTCCATCCTAAACTGCCCCAAGTTCTAGCCTTGGAGAATTATGAACACCTACATGCCCCGAACTCTCCTGCCTGGAATCCTCCATTCCTCCCAAACTCCACCCCAGATAAACAATCTGGGCCCCCCAAGCTGTAGATGTTCTTTGGAATGACTCATAGGACTTTCCAGTCTCACACCATGCACACCTGCAACACAAACGTGCTTGCAACCTAGTCCATACCAGGCAGTTTCGGGCCTCTGCTGTTTCTCTTGCCAGACAGAACTTCTCAAGACAATTCCACAACCCTCCTCCAGGCTAACTCCTTGGAATCCTTAAGACTCGTTCCAGGCATGATCTCCTCCCAGAAGCCTGTGTCCTCCCCACCTTCTCCCAGATAGGTTGGCTGTCCCTTTTCAGGGCTCCCGGTTTGAACAATCACCCATCTCTGTCGTGACACTTTGATTCTTCTGTAGAATTGTTTATGTGCCTGTCCCCTCTACTGGCTTATGAGCAGGAATTATGTCTCATCCATCTTTGAAACTCTAGTGCTGGTCCAGAGCCCAGCACGTGGCAGGTATTCAAGAAACGTTGGAAGCCTGCACAAAGTCATCGGTCGGCATTATATGGTATGCCTGGTTCTATTTCCGAGTTTGCTCACAATGATATCTAGGTTACGAGGCTGCTTTAGACAGTTTCCCAAAGCCTGGGACAGAGGCTCTCCAGACTTATGAGCAGAGAACGCTCTGCAAGCCCGCCTGAGAAGGTGCAGTTTCATCCAGAAGCAGGTGTATTTTGAAGGAGCAGATGCTACCTGCTTTCTGTCACACCCTCACCTAGATCCTGAGGTGCTGGGTTCCCTCCAGCCCAGTGGGGGGTGGCTCTCAGGCCTGTTCTGATCTCTTCCCATAGGCTCTGACAGAAGGAGCAGACTGGTGGAGTAGGGACAAAGGGTCAGTCTGGCCAAGCCAGCCTCATGTACAATCTGGAACCTCAGAAACCCCTGGGCTTTCTGCCATGAGCCTGTGAGGAGAGGGACATCTGCCTACTCCCCTCTAAGCAGAGGAAAGACCCGGAATGTAGGGAAAAATGCAGGGAGGAGCATGGAGCATTCCAAAAGATTCTTTTCATCCTCCCCCCAACATGAGGCAGCCCTCATTGGCCGACAGGTTTGAGGGCTTAGGCAGGATGGAAGTCTGAGCTCACAGGGCTCTGGAATTTAAAAAGCTAGTAACTGGTTAAGCAAGCAATTGAGGTGAGGGGCCCGTGGCTCTATCTCTCAGCTGGCCTCAACACCTCGTAAATGGGAAACTGCGTTCTCAACCAGGGCTCCACCAAGGCCATGATGATAGATTAAAAATACTACAAACACATGCACATATACCCTAGAAGAGGTCCACATTGCTCATATTCTCAAAAAGGACTCAGACCAGTTCTAAGAACCCCTTCACTGGACTGTCTGCTCCCTGATGGAAGTAATGTGTGTTTTTCCTCACTGAATCCTCCATGCTGACTATGGAGCTTAAAAATACCTGTTGGATTACGTCGAACAGGGATGGGGGCAAAAGGTGGATAGGTGAGGGGCTGGATGGCAAGACTCTCAGAGAAGCAAGGAACGAGATGCGGGTGACCCCAGGGCCTAGCCCCTGTCTTCCCCTCCTTGGAGTGGAGTCCCGTTGCTCAAATTCTTGGGTGGCTTGGCATCTGCCAGCAGACGAAGTAACTGCCGCTACGTGAAGCAAGTGTGAAAAGGCTGGGAACTTCCCTCCTGACCTCAGAAGAGAACAGACTTCTGCCCTGGAGACTAAAGGGAGAGGAGCTGGGTGCACTGGTGTCTCCAGGGCACTGGGGGAAGGGCTCAATGAGAAGACACATTTGTGGAAAACACCAGGAAAAGAGCAAGCTGCCTGGGAAGGGAGCCTCTGCATTCCCGGGATACCAATCAGGAATGCTCCCAGGGTGGCCTGGGTGTTAATTAGCAACAGCGCAGTCCTCCAGCAGGCATTCTGGGAACCACCAGACCAGCCACCACCCGCCCACAACCTGCAGAGCAGGCCCAGGGGATGGGAGGTGGGGGCTGGGGCACTGGGCTGGGGCCGGCTCACACATTTGTTAAATTGTTAAGTGGTCAGGAATACTGCAGCCAGTTGACATCTGTTGGTGCTTGAAATCTGCCATGGTAGAAATTACAAATGCAACAAATAAATAGTAGCCTTTTCCCCCCCTCCCTTTCCAGAGAGCGAACTGTTAAATGTTTGCCAGCATACCACTGGAAAGAACCCACTCGGACTGAGTCAAGTTTGAATGTGGAGCATGACAGCTACCACCAGCATGGAGAAGAGAGGCTGCAGAGGAGTTGGGGACATCACCCCCCCATCCTCCATTCCAACATGGGCTCTTTCTCCAGTTCCTAATGCCGGGAAACTGGCTTCCCAGGAAGGACATCACCATGGTCTCGTCAAACGTCTCCTGCTCTGGTGGTGCCAATCCACACTCTTCTCAGCAGTCAGAGAGGCGCAGCCATGGGGACAGCCCCACCAGAGGGGCCCTGAGCCAGCACTAAGGCCAGCCCCCCTGTACCCCCCGCCATGGGACATGGCCCCTCCGTCCCCAGGAGCCCCTTTCCCTTTGGGCTCTGGATGTGTCCCCACACGGCACCACCCTGTCAAACCTCCTGTAAACCCTTTGCTAGTTCCGGCTCCCAAGTACCACCAGCTCCCAGCTCCCTGGAGTGGGGCTGCAATTAAGCTGGCCCCACCTGGCCTCCACCAAGAGACCCTCTTGATCCACAGCCCAGAGGCCAAGCACAGAGAGACAGAAACACACCTACCTGGCTGGGCCCCCTCAGGCTCATCACACCCTGGGGAAACAGAAACATGTTGCAGCTCTGCTTGCAGTGGGGAAAGGGGTCACCCAGTGCTGGGGTGGGGGTGGGCCCCCCCTGCTCTGCCTTGTGCCTTGGCCAGGAGGATAGAGACTATGTTACATCACATCAGATACCCACCCCCATGCCCCAATCAGGTCCATTTCTGGAAGTGAGGAAAGAAAGTTCTGAACCTTCAGTGACTCTCCTGTGCCCAGGTGAGGACCAGGCCGGGAAAGAACTCTCAACCTTGCTTCTGTAGGGGTGAAAGAAGCCACAGCCAAGGCCTCTGACTCAGACCAGGACAGGCACCAGGAACACAAATGCCATGGAAACACCTCTGACATTAGGGGCAAATCTTTCAACTGCCCCCTCCCTCTCTGAGCCCAGCATTCAGAAGAGATAGAGCTCCCTGTGGCTTCCCTATGGCCAGATGCCTGCACGGCCCCCTTAGCCAGCACCACTGGGCTCCAGGGCCATGCGCTGCCTGGCCTCCTTTGCTCACCCCAATGCCTCAGAGCAGGGCCATGCTGTCATCCTGGCTCACAGTTACCTGTCCTCCACCAGTGAGGACAGACAACCATTAGGGAAAAGACAAAGAATCCTACCACTCTGATTTCCTCTTCTAGTAGTAGTAGGACCTTAAGGGCAGAAATCGGTCACCAACATCCTTGTTACCTCCCCTGCTCTGGGTCCTGCGTTATGAACAAGAAAGTGAGAGCTCACTGAGGCCAAGACCCAAGGCGGGGGCTCCATACCCACGCTCAGCACGGTAGCACATCTGCCAGAAACCTGATGCTCCAGGGGGTCATGGGGCCCCTAACTTCTGGAAGGAGGCTCTGCCATTCCAGACTTCCCTGGAGGTCGGGTTCCCCCCAAAAGGAACTGGTACCTCCCTGGTCCCCAGTAACTGATGGGGTGGAAAAGCTGACATCAGGGCAAAGGGAAGGGAGGTTAGTGGCCACTTATTCGGGGTCAACTATGTTCTGGCTCCCGGCTAGACCCTGACAGACACTCGCTACTATAATCCTCTCAGCGACCCTGTGAGGGAGAAAGGAGTTCAGAGAGCAGAGCTGGAAATTAAACCACTCTCTGACTTCAAAGGCACTAAGCCACACTGCCTCCCACACACCATCAGCCAACAGAGACAACGGGGTCAGAGGTCAGGATGTGGTTGCTGGTGGAGAGACCAAGTGGCCATCACAATCAAGTCTGTGATTTTAAAAAACGGTACGTGTGGCTCAGGAGCCCCAGGGTCAGGGGTGAGACCACAGGGCGGGTGCCCGCCCCTCCCCCAGTCCCTTCCCCTGTGGCCCGAGGGGCGGGCTTCCTCAAGCCGGGAGGGCAGACCAGGAGGCAAAAGGTGCAGTGCTCACCTGCCACCTCCACAATCTGGTGCCGGGCAATGTCGTAGTAAGGGTCATCCCACTTCAGGTGAGTAACAGGTTCCGGGGAACTGCTTTTGGAGTCATCTGAGGAACACCGCAAAGTCAGGGGATAACCTGGGGGGCTGGCAGTGTTCTCCCTGAGACTGGTGTTCTTTGATCCTCCTCCCCCGTAGGACATGTGCCCCCAGCCCCACCCCGGGGCTGGTCTGCTTGCCCTCCTCTTGCTCTCCTGGGATCTCCCTTCAACAGGAAGGGAGACTCCCCTTCTAAGGCACCTTAGGGCCGCCTGAAATCCAGAAGCACCCACCTGACTTGGGAAAGTCAGGCATTTCATCCGACGGCCAGTTCTTCTCATCAATGGAGGCTAGCTTCAGCTGGTTCAGGGCCTGGCTGGTGTCATCCAAGGTCAGGTCATCCTGCAACTCTGAAAGCGGGTCCATGAGCAGGCCTGTCCCCCACAGCTTCACTCCACAGAACCTGAAGAGAAACCTGGGGTGGGGGTGGCAAGTCAGGGACACCCTCGTTTCCCTTGAAATCGATACAGCAAGCCCTCCTGCTCTCACTCATTCCTCCCCCAACCTCCCCTGTTCCTGTTCCTCAACACTTCGCAACCTTGCCAAGAGCTCCATGTCACCCTGGGTTCTCCACAGTTTAGGCGTGTTGCCAGAATAAGCAGCTGGGGCAGAGGATGGCGCAGCTCGGTGCCTGCCCTCAGGTCCTCCAGCTGGCTAGGGACGAGCCGTGCCAGGCCCTGTGCTGCCCACTGCCCATCTGGTACAGTCATGCAGTCCCAGCTGCAAGGGGAGAAAAGTCCACGCATCTCTCCTCAGGGGTCATGGAGCACAGAAGCTTCCCAGGCCCCAACAGTTACAGAGGAGAGGTGCTGCAAGCATCTAAGGTGTACAGGGATGTTCCAAACCCCATTCGTGAAAAAGGTTAATTGTGGCCCTGGCTACTCCACCTCTCACTTGTGGCCTGGGGAAGAGGAAGTGGCCAGAGACTCCAGGGTCCCAGAAAAAAGGCCACGGTCAAGGTGCCCAGCTGGGTTTGCCCCAGGACAGGAACAAGAAGCAAGGGATGGAATCTGCCTGCCAGTCACAGCAGACAATCTGCAGCTTCCTGGGGGCTCCCAAGCCCACTCTAATCCGCAGGGAGCTCCGGATGTAGTTTCAAGGTGGGAAAGGTCAAGAGACTGCCCCAAGGATTGGAGAGCACAGATGGGAAAGGGGGAAGCCCACGGCATCCAGAGCACTGAGTGACAGGAGGTGAAAACCAGACCCACAGCTACAGCAGGCGGAGAGGGAGAGGAGCCAACTCAGAAGCTGGGTTTGCCCAGGTCTGGGGCTGGTAGTAAGGATGTGGCTGTGTGAAGCCTGAGGGCAGCAGCTTCTGCCCTCGGACCTAACTGGGAGCCAATCCCCTTGCCATCCCAGACTCACCATGTGGGTCAGGGAGGGGATTCAGTCCACTCAGTCCAGCCCCAGAGAAGAGGCTGCTCTAAGCCACTACATTCCTGGAGCCCAAAAATGACATATATGGTCAGAGAATGGGCAGGACAGATAAAGAGTGCGGACAAGACCAGGCACGGGGTGGGAGAAGGGGGGACAGCTGCCAGCTAGGTTCCAGACGCCGAGAACCTCTGGGCTCAGAGGCAACAGGACAACCTCCAGCACCCGTCACCTCACAGCTGAGGACTCTGGATGGTAAGCCGGCCCCCTGTGCCTAGCAACAACCACCCTGTTACCGGAGCAACCACGCTGATTCAGTGGCAAAAGCCATTACAAGCTCCTGAGCCAAAGCCAAGCAGCCAAAGAGCCAAATGGCCATAAAACAAAAACCAAAAAAACCTTTCTCTTCCTTTCCTCCAGCCTCTTATCTGCTATGCTTATTCACTCCTGCTGCATACTACCAAAATATAAGTCCCTTCCACGAGCACAGAGAAAGATGACCCTCTTATTTGGGAACGCACTTCTCCCAGCGAGTACTGCTGCGTCCCCCACCCCACCTCACCCATTCCCCCTCAAGCCTCCAATGCAGGCAACCCTAAGTCTTGAGGAATCCACTCTTGCTTTACCCACAGACTCCTTCCCCCATTCAGCTGCATGGCTGTATTCCCCAAAAGGGGACTCCACTGGGTAACAGAGACAGAGTTCAGCTCACAATAACCCCTGTTAGGCCTGAGCCTTCTCTCCTGTCACTGCCCAGGCACTTGATGCCCATTAGCCCTGCCCACAGCTACCCCAGAAGTCTTTCTGCAAACAGTGGGTGCCTGACGCAATGAACAAGGCATGGGGTGAGGTATATGGAGAAGTGGATTATAGTCCTGCTTGAGCCAATGAGTTGCAAGGATGCTGGGCAAGTCTTTTTCTTAACTAGACTTAAATATCCTTATCTATAGAAGCACAGGCTCCTCCTATACAGAAACATAACTCTCCAGTATTCTAAAATACTTGCACTAAAGTGAACAACAGGATTAGAAGGGACAGCTGCGAGCTGAAGTATGTGTGAGGGAAGGAGACGGACACCCTCTAAAGGGGAGCTGAACTTGAACTCCACCTCTTTTCCAGTAACTCCTCAATTTTGTCTTTTCTTCCAGAACTGACCCCTCCCCTATTCCATAACCGCCTTTTCCAGCAAAACTAATCACAGTTGTTTCTGCCTCCTAGCCAGACTGGCCTCCAACCCACAACTGCTTCCCTCTGTGAGCCCTGAAGTTTAGCTCCTGCTCAGTGGGAAGGTGAGGGAAGCCAGCTCAGGGAAATTCTAATAATAAAGTGGTGGCAATGAAGTATCCTGGCCGCCCAAGACTCGTCACCTACAAGCCCTGTTCCACTCTGTGCAAAATATTCCTTACCCTGAGATTAGTATTTCCCCTCTCCATAGGTAAAACACCTACTTATACAAAAATCTTTGCGAATCATTTTAGGCAGAGGTTTTAACCTCTGGACTTCTCCGAAATTCTGATGAAATTTGTGGGTTTTTTCTCTAAGAAAAATCAGCACATGCATGAAATCTTCTTTGCAGTTTTAAGGGGTTCACAGGCCATCTGAGAATCCATTTAAGGATCCCTGACCTATTCAGCACACAGATGTTGTCATTTGTTGAATGACTGAATAAATGAGGTCATCTCCTAAATGGAGAAGGCAACCAGTATTTGTTGAGGGCCTATATAGCACCATCAAGTAGACAGATTACTTTTTAACTTCACAACAGCACCAGTGAGGTTTATACTACTAAGCCCCTTTTACTGTTTGAGGAAAGTGAGGACCAGAAAAAATAAGCAAATTGTTTAGATAGGTCATACAGCAGAGTCAAGGTTTTAATCTATGTCTTTATAAGGTGGTCTCTTGATGCAGGTCAATCCCTCAACATTTCTCTAAATGACTGTCATTCATGTGATTCTGAAGGTTCAGAGAGGGCCCATAAAAAGATAAAGTAAAGCCTCTCCCCTAATCTTCACGTAGGGCTGAGATAACAACTTGAAATAGTATTCTCTGGCACTGGGATCACCCTCCTAGTTGGGGCCCCAGCATTGCGAAAATGCAAATCCCACGATACAATAGCAAGGCTTTCAACTACAAGTGCATTTGTCCAGAGCTTCATAGTTTGCAAAACCCGTACCGGGTGTAATTATCCCATTTCAGAGATTAAGAAACAGAGATGAAAGCGTGGCCTAGTTAGTGGCAGGCTGGAATACTTCCAAATTTCTTGTTCTTAGAGCTTCGCCAGATCGGATCAAAGAGACTTCCCCTTCCCATGGGCTTGCTCGATGACTGCGATCTGACCTGGACTCTGCCCTGGGAAGTGCAGGAGGAAAGCAGCGAAGGAGATGAAGTCCCGTCACTGCAGACCCGGGAGTGGGGCTGAATCCCTGCCGTGGGAAAGTCAGGCTCCTAGGCCCCATCCCACTCCTGCTCCCACCCTCGGATCCGCTCGGATCATCCCTCTGCGGACCCTGTCCCTTCCGGTGACCTGTCTAGTCTCTTCCTTCCCACCCACCCCCCCACCACCACCCAGGAAGACCCCGCGCCCTGCAGCTCACCGTGGTCGGGTACTGCTCCCTCTGCCACGCCTGTCAAAGCTCGGCAAACATCCGGCTACGCGGTAGAACGGGAACCGCCCTCTCCCGCGCTCCTCTCTCCCCAACCACTTCCGCCACACCTCCAACCCACTTCCGGTTCGCTGCCCGGTCCAAATATGGCTTTCCAGAATCCCTGCCCACTTCCTGCACGTACCGGCGCAAGTGCTGGAGGGGGTGGTGGGAGGACAGCGTATGTGTCCGACCCGTCCCTCCCAAAAGGAGGCGGTTGGAACAATTAGTTCCGCTTTCTCTGATGCTGGAATCCCTGGTGGTCCTCTGGAATACTATGGTTCTTATTGTTCTCGGAAGGAGTTTTGCCTCGTCGGTATTCCCCAACTCCCGGGTCTGTGCACCGATGAGTCTGACTTTTAGCATTCTTTCCTGACAGGAAATTTGGAAGCCGATGACTGTTTCCGGGGGGAGCGGAGAAGAGGTGCTCACTTCCGACGGAAGGAGGCTTTTCTGGAGGGATGGAGGAGGCGGAGGAGCTGCTCTCCGAGGGCGAGACACTGCGGCTCGGTTAGTGACCTGCGGTGTCTCCGACCCTCGGTCCTGGCCTTAGATAGACCTAACTTTCCCTGCCTGGTCAACTCTCTACCCCAGGCCCTTTTCTTCTCTAGCCCGGGATCCTCCTCCGGTGCCCTCAGAAGTTTCTGGGGGCTTCAGCGTCCTCGAACCCCCTCAAACTTCCGATCGGCCCATTTAGAGCCCTTATAGATCCCTCAGACTGCCAAGGCCTAGCCGGATCTGCGGTTTCCTCTCGCACCTATCCCCACCCGCACGACCTCTTGGGTCGCCCCCTCACTGCTTCCCCATCTCCCTGCAGCCCCTGACCCGCGCCTGGGCCCGGACTTGGGATGGATCCCTCCTGGACAAGGCTGTGCTCAGGCCCTCAAGGACTTCCCGCCCGGGCCGACCCGGGCCGTCCTGGCTCTAAAGAGCCTCCCCCGGGGCTTGGCCCTTGGCCCTTCAGTCGCCGAGGAGCAGCGCTTAGGGGTCTGGTGTGTCGGGGAAGCCCTGCAGCCGGGACTGCTCTGGGGGCCGCTGGAAGAGGAGTCTGTATCGGAGCAGAAGGATGAAGGAGCGAAACCACGGCAGGAGGAGGTATTGAAGAATAGGACTTGTCTTCTCCGTGACTGAAATTGTGGAAGAGGTTCAGCCATTTCTGGACAGCTCTTCAGTTAGAAGAAGCAGGGTGTTTCAAGAGATAGATGATAGTTTTGCCCCTTCTCTCCAGGACTGTCTCTTCCCCTCACTTGCAGTAGTTAAGGAATCAAGGTGCAGAAAGGTGCTGAGAGCTAGATTAGTATAGTGTCAGGAGTGATGAAAGTCAAGAGCAAGGGTGGTTAGGATTAAAAAGCCATGGAATCAAATCCCAGCTTTGTCACCTAGCTGATGAAATGATATGTGTCATTTAACTCCTAAGATAAAGGCATGGCCATTTTATTTTAATCTTCCAGGATTATTTGGAGCAATAGATGAAATAGTGCAGGTAAAGGGTTTCGTTGCATAGTAAGTCTTAAAAGATGATGTACCTCTTAACTCCTTTTTTTTGTTTGGTACTCACCGGAAGGCAGTAATGTGTTCAATTTAGTAATTCTCCACACAGTGGGAGGGAGGTGGAGGGGGGATAGTCTTTTGGTCTTTACTGGATGAAACATCAGACAACACAGTCCTGTAGAACCAGAACCAGAGCATTAACCTTCCAGGGGCTTCATATTAGATCTGTCTCAGGAGAGCTTACATCCCCTTTTTCCCCTACCCTGGTCCCCCCAAACACATGGGAGAAGGACTCTTATTGGTTTATTTCAGGACGTGTCACTAGGCCCATGGGGAGACGTGTGTGCTTGTGAGCAGAGTTCAGGCTGGATCAGGTAAGTTACAGGAGAGTATGTAGTGAAGATGGTCCTTTTTGAGGCTTTCTGTCATGGCATGAGACGGAACCAGAAGCCCACTGTTAATTCCCGACCCAGTGAGTTTTTGCAGTGAGTGTTCCAAAGGCATGGGGTCTTTAGGACTCGGACTGCCCAGAAGCTGGGACTTTAGGGAGGGCCACTTGAAGAGGGTCTCCTGAGCTAGCTTTTCCTCTGCTTTGCAGTTTGGTGCAGCGGGGCAGGCTGGAAAGTGAGGGGAACGTGGCCCCGGTGCGGGTCAGCGAGAAGCTCCATCTGCAGGTGTACCAGGTCATACTGCCAGGCTCTGAGTTGCTGCTGTGGCCCCAGCCTCCCTCTGAGGGCCTGAGCCCCATCCAGCCCAGACTAGAAGAAGAGGTAGCCATGGCTGTGGTGACAGAAGCGGACTCTGCTGTCCAACGGGAGGTGGACTCCCCAGGGCAAGATGCAGCAGAACCTTGGGCAGGTATGTGGCAAACAGATGCTATCTTCCCCAATTATCACCAGAACAACCTGTTGATAAGACAAAGCAAAGCTATGGCTCACAGAGATAAAGGAGAACATTACAGTCTTAGTAGGTTTTCTGAGGGGAAAGGGGAAGCCTGAATATTTATTGAAATTTTGAAGTCTGGTATAAGGTGGGTCTTCCAGTGTGGAATGGGGGCGGGGCTTGATCGGGATTGAATAAGGATCATGACATAATTGTTTAGTATCCATGGACCCCCAGGCTAGAATTTTCAGGCAAGAGGCTCAAAGAGTCATGGGAGTATAACCTGTCATTTGATGCTTTCTATTGCAGAGTGATGGGTCTTGTCCTTAGAATGAACAGTATTGGTATTTATCTTCCTGAGTAAGTTTTCTGGAATAGTAGGGTCATGTTGATGAAGACAGCAAGCTGTGTATAAGGTTTCCAGTGCTTCCCCAGGAGGCACCTGAGACCAGACATGAAGATAAGCCAAGCATGTGGTTCATGTTCCAAGGAAGAGATCGGTGTTCTTGGTCCTGCTGAAGTTCAGGGGCTGAGTAGGAAGAGACACATATTCTTATAATTTCCTGGTGACAACACTGCTACCACCTGCTACAGTTTCTCCTAACCCCAGCACCCCACTCTTGCCTTGCAGATCCTGGTCACCAGTCACCAACCCCCAGCATCCAGGCAGAGAGTATGGTAAGCCCTGGACTTAAGCCCCAAACCCAGGATCAGCTTTCCAAGGAGAGCCAACCACTCGGCCTGCCCCCTCAGGATGGCAGCGTGGAGGAGGAGGACCCACCCCAGACACAGGTGCCACCTGAACCTCCGAGCAGCTCTGCTCCCCAGCAGGGCCCAGAGAGCAGTGAGGCCGGTTGCTCACCTTCTGCCAGGGACAACCAGCTGCATGCTTACCTGGTCAAGAAGTTACATAGCCCCAGTGGTCAGTGCCCACCCAGAGAAAAGACCTCGGAGCCCAGGGCCCAGCAGGCTGGAGAACAGCAGGGGCCAGCAGGCTTCCCTGCACGCTTGCGGAGCCCTGCTGGCCCAACAGGAAGCTCCCCGAAACAGAGGCGGCGGTACCGGTGTGGGGAGTGTGGCAAGGCCTTCCTGCAGCTGTGCCACCTGAAGAAGCACGCGTTTGTGCACACAGGCCACAAACCCTTCCTTTGCACTGAGTGTGGCAAGAGCTATAGCTCAGAGGAGAGCTTCAAAGCCCACATGCTGGGCCACCGTGGGGTGCGGCCCTTTCCTTGCCCACAGTGCGACAAGGCCTATGGCACCCGGCGAGACCTCAAAGAGCACCAGGTGGTACATTCAGGTGCCAGGCCCTTTGCATGTGACCAGTGTGGCAAGGCCTTTGCCCGCCGGCCCTCCCTGCGGTTGCATCGCAAGACCCACCAGGTGCCAGCTACCCCTGCCCCATGCCCATGCCCCGTGTGTGGGCGGCCCCTGGCCAACCAGGGCTCCCTGCGGAACCACATGCGGCTCCACACAGGGGAGAAGCCCTTCCTGTGCCCACACTGTGGCCGGGCGTTCCGCCAGCGGGGCAACCTGCGTGGGCACTTGCGGCTGCACACAGGGGAGCGGCCTTACCGCTGCCCGCACTGCGCTGACGCCTTTCCCCAGCTGCCTGAGCTGCGGCGCCATCTTATCTCGCACACTGGGGAGGCCTACTTGTGTCCCGTGTGCGGGAAGGCCCTTCGAGACCCACATACATTGCGTGCTCATGAGCGTCTGCACTCAGGGGAGAGGCCCTTCTCATGCCCCCAGTGTGGCCGGGCTTACACGCTGGCTACCAAGCTGAGGCGCCACCTCAAATCCCACCTGGCCGACAAGCCCTACCGCTGTCCCACCTGTGGCATGGGCTACACCCTCCCGCAAAGCCTCAAGCGGCACCAGCTCAGTCACCAGCCTCCCGCTGCTTCTGAGCCCACTGTGGTATTATTGCAGACTGAGCCAGAACTAGACACCTGCGGGGAACGGGACGTCTCCCCAGCCCGGGACGTCTTTGAGGTCACCATTTCTGAGAGCCAGGATAAGTGCTTTGTGGTACCTGAGGAACCAGGCCCCACTTCCAGCCTGGTGCTCATCCATAAGGATATGGCCTTTAGCGCCTGGGCAGAAGTGGTGGAGGTAGAGATGGGCACCTGACCACCCCCCCCAGGGGAGTTCTATATAAAGCTAGTGTTTTCTAGCTGCTGGGTGTCTGCGTCTTTCTCTTTGGGTTGCCTGATGGAGGCTACTCTGAGAAGCAGATCAAGGATTTCCCTTCCTGTTCATGGACCACCACATTGTTTCCCAAGACTGTAAGGAAAACCTGTTCTGGGTTTAAGAACTTCTTACTGACTTCCTATAGAGCTTGTTCTGCTTTCTTCTCCAGGAACTCTTCAAGGTGCTCGTTCTTTAAATGTGATGGAAGTGCCCCCCCCTCAGGTAGTCCTGGAGCTGCCCTGCTGGGGTGCTTAGTGCTGGCATCATCATTCCCACTGAGCCCCCTGAGGGACAAGCACTTCCATCTTGAACCAAATGGAATGACTTGAGGGTTAAAAGGCCAGAGGCTGAAAAAAAAAAAAAAAGACCAGATGCTGAGCTCAGCTCACGGCTTTCAGTTCTAACTTGGGCTGTAGGTGGTTTGGGCAGCCTTTCTCACCGTCTGAGGGCTGTGACGTTGGTTTTCTTTCTGTGCTGACAGACACCAGACTCACTGAAGGCAGCCAGGGACAGATCTGGAGCCTTCTGAAGACCTGACCAAAGGCAGCCCTATTGAGGGAAGGAACGAATACAGGTTTTGCATCAGTGGTGGGCCTGGGCCACCCTGGGTGCTGGGACGCAGCTGTGAGCCAGACCGGGGTGACGTCCTTTACAGAGCTCATGATCTAGGGCAGGAAGCGTTGGACAAGAGTTTGCAGAGGATCTGTAGCTAGTGCTACGTGGACGTGTTACATGGGATGGTTTGGCTTGGTCTGGGGGCATCAGGGACAGTGTCCCCAAGGAATCATAATGATAAACACTCAGCCCTTTTTGTGGGCCAGTTCTTCATGTTTGTTTATATAATCTTCATAGCAGCCCTGTGAGGTCGGTGGTTGTAGTAGTAGTCTGGTTTTACAGATGAGGAAACAGCTTGAAGTGTCCTGCTCAAGGCAACAGTTCCTAGGTAGGTAGCAGAGCCAAGACAAACTCTCACGGTCTCATGCTGGCGTAAGGCTGTTAACCCCGGCGCTGCAGCCGTGTATCTCAGCCTGATCTGCTGGGTGGGAAGGGGGAGGCGCTGGGGGCTGCTTGTGGGGAGCCATGTGATCAGAGAGTCGGGGGGCTGTGAGCAAAAGGTCGTTGGGGTTGGGGCAGAGAGCAAGGGGAGGGGGCGGGTCACGCCTGCCTGCCTTCAAGAGTTGGGGCTTTATTCTCAGAATTGAGGAGCTTTTTGAAGGGTTTTGAGAAGGAATGACATGACTAGATTTGTGTTTGAAGAGACCACCAAAGGATGGATTGGCTGTCGAGGTGTGGTTGTGGGGAAATCAGTCATTAGGCTGCCAGGGGGATGGGCAGTGGGGTTGTAGCAGTAGAAATGCAGAGAAATAGAATCATTCATCCAACACGTGAGCACTTCCTGCGTGCTAGTTAGGGAGATGGCATAGAAACAGTCTCAGCTCTCCCAGAGTTACAGCCTGGTGTGCAGAGACAATAAACAATAAGAAATAAACAAGACATGTCAGATGATGGCAAATGCAGTGGAAAAAAGGCAGGGGAAGAGGTTAAAGTGGGGAGCGTGATTTTACAGAGGGTGGTCAGGGAAGGCCTCTGATAACATGAGCAGGAGCAGAGACCCAAACTATGGAGAAGATGAGCCACATTGATGTCTGGGAGCTGGATTTCAGGGAGAGGGAACAGTACTGGCAAGGTCCAGCGGGTTCAAGCAAGAGCAAGGAGCAGAGTGGCCACAGCAGAGGATGGACGGAGGTGAGGGCAGGTTGGGCCTGCAGACCGTGGTGAGGACTTGGGGCAGATACGTTCTCTGAGAGAGAGAAGTGACAGAACTCATGGACTGCGGGAAGGAGGGAGAGCTGACTCCTGGTTTCTGACTTCGTACATGAAGTGCCACTGGGGTGGGAAAGAGACAGTATTCTGGTTGGGGGTGGGCTGAGTTTGAAGCGCCAACAGTAGAGATCACAAGCAAGCTGTCAGAAGTCGGCAGAGTGGGGAGAAAATTGCTGTAGAGGGAGAGTCACGACAGATGCTAGTGGCTAGCTGGGCATCGAAGGAGGGAGGTGAGCAGAGGGGCGGGGTCCGGGCCAACATCCACATGGCCCAGCCCTCCGGCGTCACATAGGGGACAGGGGCTCTGCAAGGGACACGGAATCTGCATCCAACAGGATAGAAAACCCGTCAAGTGTGTGTCACAGAAGCGGATAGAAGAGCGTTTGGCCAAAGAAGTGGGCAAGAACGTCCACTGCTGTCGAGAGGGTTGAAGTCTGTGATGCCACTGAGCAGAGTGAGGGCAGTTGGAAGCCAGATTGGATTGCTTTGAGGAGTAGGTGTCAAGAGAGGAAGAACTTAGATTCTTGTTCCTTCTTCACAACACCAGAATAGGTGTTGTGATCCCTGTGTCACAGATGAGGAAACCACGGGTCGGAGCGGGTGGGTAGCTGGCCGAGATCACACAGCCAGTAACTGGCAGAGCCAGGACTGAAACTTGGGGTGTTCTCTGACTTCGCGGCACTCGATCACAACGTCACGGGCAGCCCAATGTCTCCTGCTTTGCCCCTGACATTTACCCAGCACCTACCCAATTGAATAACCTGTTGACAGAGCATTCTGAAATTGTCCACGGGGAGGGAGGACAGCAGGAAGTCATGGCGCTCTATGGAGAGAAAGGTCATACCATCCCAAGCCTGAAAAATAGCTGCTAATAGTTTTGAGTGAGCCGGCCCTGCTTCTTGGATCCTGCGTGAGGCGTGGTAGGTCCTGTTCTTTCCCAGCTCCTGCTTCAGGCAGGGTCGTGCCAGCTCAGAGGGCTGCTCAGCCGGCAGCATGCACCCAGTGGTTTTAGGAATCGTGGGGACATTCTCATCACACGATCCCCAGCTGTGCAGCAAAGGACATACTCCTCACTCGGTAGTGAGCTGTGTAGGCAAGGTGGGCATGCTTTGGGTTGCTGGGGAGGCCTGTCCACACCCCACAACCCTCCTTAGGCCCAAACCTGGGATGCTCGCACCCCCTTGCTCCATCCCGCACACACACGAACTTTTCTCTCCATTAAGGCTGTCCCTACGTGATGCAGAGCAGGGTCGGGTCCAAGCCAACAAATCCAAAGGCACGTGGTTTGGGAGCCTCTGCTCTCCAGCACTTGTTAAGTTGTGAGCAGGCATCGGGGGGGGCACTGTGCGAGCTCCCCATGTTAGAGGAGGACGTGGGCGCCTCGAGAGCAGTCATTGCCAAGGCCTGAGACCAGAGAGTAGCAGAACGAGGACAGGGCCCAGGTCTTCCGACCCCTAATTTAGTGCTTTTCCAGTTAAAACGCAGTGACTGTTCTTGAAAAGATTGATCTCTGCAGTACTTTTTTCATTGAGGAAATACCTTCCCCTGATGTCAAAATAATTCTTGTTCATCCTAATGGTAAAGTCCCTTTATTCCCTACTTCTTTCCTCCACCCCTGGATAAAGCCACTTCCCCCCCCCCCAAAGATAAAGTCACTTTTAACAGTTTGGTGCATAGATTACTGAATTTGAATGCTGCTGCTTGCTCTAGGGCAAAGGTGCTATGAAAATGTTGCTGGACACCTTAAACCTGGAGGCAGGTTTAACTGCGGTGCCTACAGCTGCTGAACCAAACATCAGAAGGTGTAGGAGATTAAGGATCTTTTATCCTGGGCGCCTGGGTGGCTCAGTCGTTAAGTGTCTGCCTTCAGCTCAGGTCATGATTCTGGGGTCCTGGGATCGAGCCCCACATCGGGCTCCCTGCTCAGCGGGGAGCCTGCTCTCCCTCTCCCACTCCCCCTGCTTGTGTTCCTTCTCTTGCTGTCTTTCTCTGTCACATAAATAAAATCTTAAAAAAAAAAAAAAAGGATCTTCTTTCCCCATTTACAACTTTAACAGTATGAGAAAATCTTACAATAGAATAATATTTGAATCACTTTTAGGGACCTGTAAATGAGGCAGCATCATGAACTGTAAAGAGCTCCATCTCTAGACAGGTTCAGGTGTGGACTGCATAAACTCAAGCAAGTTACTTGGCTTCTCTCTGCCTCAGTTTCCTCATCCATAAAATGGGGATAATTATGGTACCTACCTCATCAGTACTATGTACCTGGCACGTGGTGAACAGTTAATAAATTGTAGCTGGTCATTAAGTAATATTGCAATCAGCCCTCCTAAATTGGAAGACAAGATTAAGGGGCTTGCATGTTTCCTCTAGGTGTTACTTGTTTGGGGCAGGTCAGCATCATGCACAGTAGTTTCATACTTTGGGTGCATGTGCCCTGGGTATGCTTCATAGAACAGTGAGGCTATACTCTAGCAGAATGCCAAGGGATGAAGGTCATGCGAGGGGAAGAGCAATGGTCTGAGAGGCAGGAATCTGAGGCCTGGTCCTGGCTCTATCACCAACTTGACAACCTTGATCAGTTAGCTCCCCACCTGGGAGATTCCCTTTCCGCATAGTGACATGGGGAAATAGGACCAGATCATTGCTTCCCAATCTCAGCTCCATCCTTGAGCCCTTTTGCTAACTTTTTCTTATATGGATCCTTTTTAAAATTTAGATTTTATTTATTTGAGAGAGAGGGACAGCACAAGTTGGGGGGCATGGGGAAGGACAGAGGAAGAGGGATAAGCAGACCCCCCGCTGAGCAGGGGCTCGAGCCCAGGACCCCGGGATCACGACCCGAGCCGAAGGCAGACGCTCAACTGACTGAGCCACCCAGGCGCCCCTGGATCCTATATTTTTTTTTTAAAGATTTTATTTATTTATTTGAGAGAGAGAGAATGAGAGAGAGAGAGCGTGAGAGGGAAGAGGGTCAGAGGGAGAAGCAGACTCCCTGCCGAGCAGGGAGCCCGATGCGGGACTCGATCCTGGGACCCCAGGATCATGACCTGAGCCGAAGGCAGATGCTCAACCGACTGAGCCACCCAGGCGCCCTGGATCCTATATTTTAAAAGCTTTTGATTAAATAGAAATTCACTCCTTTTAAAAAATTCTTTGGAAAGATTTTATTTATTTGCCAGAGAGAGAGAGAAATTCACTCATTTTAAAATGCTGACCGGATTGAGGGGAAAAAAGATAATTAACCACCTCAAAAGACTTAATTTCAGCCAAAAAGGGAAAAATTTATTCTTAGGGTAAATTTATAATTTTTTAAAGATTTTATTTATTTGAGAGAGAGCACAGAGGGAGGGGGAAGCGGCCTCTGCTGAGCAGAGCCCAATGCGGGGCTCAATCCCAGAACCTTAAGATCATGACCTGAGCTGAAGGCAGACACTTAACCAACTTAGCCACCCAGATGCCCCTAAATTTGCAATTTTTGAGAGTTTAAAAAGATATGCAGAAGGACAAGGCCATTCTTAGTATATGCACAGAGCCCTAGGCTTCAAAACGTCTGGATTTAATGATACCTGACTCTCTTTCCAGCTCTGAAATTCTGTCTTGGAACATAATTTTACTGTTTTCAGTGATTACAGAGCTTCATTTTACAACATAGCATTGGCCTTACCCATGATTTTGTTTGACGCCAACTTGTTGGGAGAATTGCAACCTCTCATTATCACCTTGTGCTTAGAGGAAATGTGATCCGCTTTCAGTGTGCAGGCATGTGTTTGGGGTGAGAAGCAAGAAGGACGTGTTCAGTTGCATGGCACCCACTGGGTTCAGAGGGTTCCAAGAAGAACAGGTGCTAGAGGCTGGGGTGCTTGTAGTGAACCCTGAAGCCTGGGTTGCCACCCAGGCGTCCCTCTCCTTGGTTTCTATTATCCTGAACAGTCTCTCCCACCCACCCCATTTATTTCCATGTCATGAATGTGCCAGAGAGACTGGGGCCATTTGTTCTGCTAAATGTCCATCATTCCTTGTGGTGGTGGCTAACTTATTCCTTTATCATCTGTATTTCCTATAAACGAGTAATTAAATTTAGAGGCTCATTTAATTCAGTTTCACTATTTTAGGAAGAGCCCTTCACAGGCAGCATTGTGTATTTCCTGTTTCATATGTAATAGTGGTGTTTATTGGGTGCTTTCTGTGTGGCAGGCATTGTGATACTTTACAAACATAAGGCTTTGAAGGAGTAGCTTAGTATTTACTTCATAACGATAAACTTAACTCTTAATCCAACTAGAATAGAGGGAGCCAGGGATATATGGACTCCAAAGAATTGCAGCAAGTGAGAACCCAAAGATCACAGAACTCTGAGAGCTGGGGGTGCTTCTGCAGGGACAAAAGGAATGGTGTAGATCAGATCAAACACAAAACCAAATTTATCGGAATGGCCTAGAGTCTTGCTGGTCTTGTCATTCCTGGACACAAAACACCGTGGCTTTCACAATATCCGTGCTGTCTCTCTCCTCGCCAAAGAGCCCACGCTTGCCATCCAACCTATCCATCTTAACCACGCAGATGACAAACTGGGAGCCATTTCAGTGGGGTCCAGCATTTGCCATGGACAAGATGTCGGGACCCAGAGTCTTCAAAATGAAGTTCTCATCAGCGAAGTTCTCCCTGCTAATTGGATTTGCCACTGGTGCCACGATGTGTGAATTCATCACCCCAACACATAAATGCAGGCATAAGTCTGGGAAAGCAGGAACCAAATCTAAGCAGAAAGCTTCAGGTATCTTCCCAGGGCCTAGAGAACCAAAGTTTTCTGCTTTGGAATATTGTCTGCAAATAGCTTGATGAAGACATGGCCCAAGACGCCTATTAGTGGTCATACCTGCGCATGAGCATGCCATTGGCTCAACAAGTCTGCAGAGGCCAGTATGAGTTTTTCAACAGCCTTGCGAGGCAAATACTGTTCTAATTCTGATCTTATAGATGGTGAAACCAGGCCTGGTGCTCTCTTTTCTGCTGTGATGCTTGTCTGTAGGGATGGGGGAGTTCTGACAGTGAGGGAACAAGGGGGCCCTGAACCCTCAGTAGAAGAAGTGCTATGTGTTGTGTGTTTTGTGCTCCTGGCCAACACCCTCTGCTCTTGCCTTTTCTCCCTCTCCTGGTTGACTCAGCACTGGCCCCAGCTGGTCCTCAGAAAAAAAGAGGATCACCTGTCTTGAAACAGGAAGGAGGAAGCCACACCTCTCCTCCACTTCTCGGGAGCCAAAAAAAAAAGTAGGCTCAACTCCCTCAGTGAACAGAGAATCCATGTTAAAACCACAACGAGACACCTGCACGTGTATCAGGATAGATAATGTGAAATGGATGGACAATATAGAGGGTTGGTGAGGATCTGAACAACTAGAACCCTCGAGCATTGCTGGTGGGGGTGTAAGCTAGTACCACCACTCAGGATAACCATTTGTCCGTGACTGGGGCAAAACATATGCCTGCCCTATGACCCAGCAAATCTACGCTTGTACACGACTATTTGTAGCGGCACTACTCATGGCAGCCCAAACAGGAAACTAACCCAAATGCCCATCAACAGGTATCCAATGGATAAATAGTCATGCAATGAGATACTACACAGCTTTTAAAGGAATGGACCGCTGATACACACGTGATACACACAATCTGAGAAGCCTGGCACAAACAGGTATATGCTGTAGGTTTCCATTTCGATGAAGTTCAACAATAGGCAAAACTGGTCTAGGGTGATGGTGGTTAGAGTAATGGCGATCTTAGGGACAACACGCAGAAGTCTGGGGCTAAAAATGTTGATCTGGTGGTGGTTTACATGGGCATGTGCATAAAAATGTGACTTAAACACAGGATTTGTTCTAACATTACTGAATATAAGTTAAACCTTGGGTTAAAAAATATATAGAAAAACTGGAATATATATATTGATATATATATATGTTTATATATATGTTTGTATGTTTATATATGTATATATACATATATATATATGAACTGGGCCGCCCAGGAATTAAGCTGATTCGTGGGAGTCCTGAGCCCCAGCTCTGTGCAAACCCTCTCCCTGCCCTGTGATCTTCCCAGACTCTACGTGATGGTGGTCTAGACCCATACGGTTGGGCCTGAAGGATGGCAAAACGGGATCCCTGTGTTCCTGCTCTTTGTCCTTCTGTCCTAATTAGACCCAGGACTAATATTTACCTTGTGGAATGCAAACAGAAAATGGGGGAGGGATGGGAGCAGGGCTGGGCGAGGGGCAGCGTAGGACCGGCGGCCACTCCAGGCCTGGCTCAGGACAGGCAGGCAGGAGGAGAGGGAGGGGCCCTGCCGAGGAGACCCGAGGATTTGGGCTGGTCCCCGTTCTGGGGCCAGAAGCAGGTCCGAGGAGGTGCAAGAAAATAGACCAGAGGCTCAAAGGCCGTGGGCCTGGCTCCTCCCCCTGAGCAGCCACTACACATGGACACACCTCCCCAGCTCCCAGGTGGGAAAGTGGTTGAGAGGCAGCTCTCCTCTGGCCGCACCCTGGTCTCAGCTTTCTCAGATCTGTGTGTCGTGATTACATCAACCTCCCCACTGGTTTATATCCATATACCTACTGATTGTTAAGCACTTACTACATTTCACGGGCATTACATTCAAAATCTCCTTTAGTCCTCACAACAAAGTACTGTTCCCATTGTACAGATGAAGAAACTGAGGCTCACAGAGATCAAAGCAATCATCACCGTGTGTTAGGACTGGAAGCAGCCTCAGGAAGATCTTGTGACCCTACTAGCCCAAGTTGGCCCATATCTCAGGAGGGAGGGGCTGGACGATGGTGGTTACTTACACTGGCCTTTCCTTTGTGACTTCCCCCCAGACCATCTGTCCCTGGTCCCAAGAGGACCTGTCTTCCTGGATGGCAGGGTGGACTATCTATACACTAGTCCCATGGCCCTGACCTGCTGACCTCTCCCTCTTGGCTGATTTCTTCATGTTAGTTCAACATTAACCCAGAGTGGTCAGGACAAGTCCTCAGAGTCCCAGGAGCTGACACACTATGGCGCACATCCGAGGCCTCTGGGTACCTGGCTGCCTGGCCCTAGCTGTCCTGTGTAGTCTTGTGCCCAGCCAGCATGGTAAGAGGGGCTTGGAGGCTGGGACAGGCTGACAGGCTGGGATATGGGCCCACGGGCTGGGGCCTCCTGGCTGGACCGAGAACAACAGGGCTGACGCCCGGGTGGGTCTCAGCCTACAGCATACAGCTTAGGGAAGGAGTCGGGCGCTCAGGTGTGGATGCACTGCGTCTCTCCTGCCATATGGGGAGTGGGCTCTCCAGTGCATGGAGGGGAGCGAGTGGGCTACCGACGGCAGCCTTCTGGGTCCTGCCACCATCCCAGACGTCCCCTTTCAGAAGTCGGGAGGGCAGGCTAGGCTTGCTTCCGGCCCCCACGGTGGCCAAGACCGCCTGGCTCACGGAGTCCACTGTCCCACGCCCCTCCTACTGCAGTGTTCCTGGCCCCTCAGCAAGCGCTCTCGGTGCTCCAGCGGGTCCGACGCGCCAACAGTGGCTTTCTGGAGGAGTTGCGCAAGGGGAACCTGGAGCGGGAGTGTGTGGAGGAGCAGTGCAGCTACGAGGAGGCCTTTGAGGCCCTGGAATCTTCCATCGCCACGGTGAGGGCTGGGCTGCGCACTGGGTCGGGGTTGGGGAGGGGTGGGCGAGGTCCTCCCAGGTGGGCCCCGCAAGGCATGTCCCAGCTCTTCAGCTGTCAGTAACTTAATGTCCTCTTGGGCCTCATTTCACTGGGCTGCCAAGATGAGTGACCTCAGCCCTTCTTGGAGGCCCAGACACCTGGGCTATGTCAAGGTCTGGCAGCCTAGTGAGGCTCCAGGTCATCGGGGGCTCCTCCATCTTCTGATGTCTGTCTGCACTGGGGTCTCTGGAGGCCCCGGCCCTCATGGCTTCAGCCCTGCTGCTACTGTGGGGTGTGGGACTCTGGCGAGGCCTCAGGGTTCCAAGAGCTCTGTGCAGCCTTTCCCTTCCTCAGGGCTTTGCCTGGGCCCCATGCCCCCCGTTCTTCAATCTAGCCCACCTATGGGAACCCTTTTGGTCTTGGATGGCAGGGGGCTCCCCTCTCCTCAAATACTCCTCTCCTCAGTGGGCTTGGGCTTCTGGAAACAAAAGTAAGAACCTACCACAAACCTCCCCAGAGCCTGCCCCCTGCATGACCAGGGTAAGGGAAAGAGAAAAGTATGAGGGGAAAATATAAAGTCTACTGAAAAACAAAATGAAATGAAACAGGATATGCCACACCCTCATGCTGGCTCTTATTTTTCAGGAAGTATTCTGGACCAAGTACACAGGTGAGCACTAGGAAGGGTTTGCTCCTGGAACGGAGTCCTGGGGACCCCAATGAGAGAATGTTCTACTCTGGAGAATCTTCTGGTCCATCCAGCCATCCATCCCTCCACCCATGCCTCTTTCCCTCCTTTCTCCCTTCCTACCTACCTACCTACTTCCTTCCTTCCTTCCTTCCTTCCTTCCTTCCTTCCTTCCTTCCTTCCTTTCTTCCTTCCTTCGATCTATCTGTCCATCTCTTTGTCTCTGCACTTTGTCCCCCCCACCCTCTACTTGAGCCCCTCCTGTCCCTACCCCAATCCCAAAAGTGTTTCTGTGTCTTTTCCAGCTTGTGAGTCGGTGAGGAAACCTCGAGAAAAGCTCATTGAATGTCTGGAAGGTGAGGAGCCGATGCAGGGGTGGGGGGCAGGGTGTGAGCAGACAGCCTGGGAGAAGAGCAGAGTGGGGTGGGTTAGGAGTTGTGGCCTGGCATCTGACCTTGCCGTTCTGTTCCTGCGGTCAAGGACGCCTTTGCACCTGACTCTGTGCCCGGCAGTGAGGAAGAGGATTCATGTTGGAGGAACAAATGCATGAATGGATGAGGAATTCATATTTAAGGCCTCATTCTCATGCGAGTCCCCGCCAGTCAGTCTTCCCTGTGTTCCCAGGGCGGAGCCCTGATGAGGTCACATTCATTCTTCAGAACCTTGGGTGGCTCCCCAGTGCCTCCAGAATAAAGCACAGGATTCTTAGCCGGGCAGACTTGGCAGGTTCTGGCCTCAACCTTCCCTTCTGGCCTTATCTACCATTGCACCAAAACATGGGCCCAGACGCCCAGCTACTCTGACAGCAAGCACTTCTCTGAACATGCCAACATGTGTCTGCCTCCTGGCCTTTGCTTTCATTGTCATCTTCCCCTGGAACAACTATACCATTTCCTGCAAACTTTCCTGTCCTTCAAGGACTAGTTCAAATGCCATCACCTTGCGGAGCCTGCGATGAGCCTCCACCCACTTCCCCAGTCTTCTGAATACACCTTTAAGATAACAATAGACCCCAGCTCTTAACAGTAACGCTTTAACCACTTTGTAACATACTTTTGTTTGTTTTTTTTCCATCCTTTTATTTGTTAAATAACTTATTCAACAGGAATTTTACTAAACCCCTGCTGTGTACCAGGCACTGTGTCATGTGCTGGGGATTCTAAGAGAATGAAGGAGCTCCCAATCTCACAGGGAAACAAAAATACAAAATATCAGTGTGATCGCTGGAAAAGCTCTGTTCCAGGTGCCAAGACAATGCCAGGAGAAGGAGCTTTTAGTTTGCTGGCAGGATCAGGGACAACCCCCCAGAAGAAGCAGAGTTCCACCTGGATTTGTGGGATGCACTGATGCGCAAACAGAAGAGCACGCCCAGGCAGAGGAAACAGCTTGTGCAAAGGCCCTGACACGAGGATCTCTGATAACAGGACGGGTAGACCAGGGCCAGATTAGAAGGACCGTGTTCGCTTTGTCATCCTACTGGCCACGAGGAGCCACCAACTATAAGCTCCATGCGGGCAGGGACCTACCTTGACTATGTCTTATTCTTCCCTATGTCCTTAGTGCCTGGCACAGTGTCTGACACACAGTTGTCACATGGGTGGTGGGCACTCAGTGAATTTTGGTGAGTGCTGTGAGACAGATCGGTGAACGGCTGGGTACAGAGGAGGTAGCTGAGGAAATGTGGATTAAGCGTCATGGAGCAGCGGTAGCTTGGAGGAGATGGACAGACAGGGCTTTGCTAAGTGAGAGAGGGGCAGGGCCTCAGGATAAGAGACTGGGGCTGGGGTCTCTGCAGGTAGCTGCGCTGAAGGTCTGGGCATGAACTACCGAGGGAACGTGAACTTCACCCGGTCAGGCATCGAGTGCCAGCTCTGGGGGAGTCGCTACCCACACAAGCCTGAGTGAGTGATGGGCTGTCGGCCAGTGGGCTGAGAATATGGGCTGGCAGACACTGGACAGGGGGTATGGCCTCTGCTGAGCAATTTCCTATTCCAGAATCAACTCTACCACCCACCCTGGGGCTGACCTGCAGGAGAATTTCTGCCGTAACCCGGATGGCAGCACCACTGGGCCCTGGTGCTATACTACAGACCCCACCGTGCGGAAGGAGGAGTGCAGCATCCCTGTGTGCGGTGAGCTGGGGAGGGCTGGGCAGCCCATGGCCAAGGATCAGGGGTCTCCATAGGGCCTGATCCTGGCTACCTTCAGGCATGGGTTAGTCATTTACAACATATTTGGGCCTGTGGGTCAGTGAAGGCAGGAGACCAGGGAGAGCTGGAATCCCCCTGCCTTCCCAGGCTTTGCTTCCTTGTGACCCAGGCTGTGGCTCCTTCCAAATATGTTTTCCTTCCTGCTCGAGGCCCTCTTCCCTCCAGGAAGCCCTCCCTAACTATTTCAGTCGACGTGCCCCTTTCTGAGCACCACAGAGCAAACCTCATATGGCCCAGCCCGGCGTGATGCTGTCATTATTCTTTCGCATGGTGTGTCAGTGAGCTCTAGCCACAATAATGCTGCAAACCCCACAAAATCACAAACAGCTACAAAAGCTCAGGGGTTACACCAATAAGCATTTCTTTCTTGTGTCTGAGGGTTGGCTTGGGCGGCTGAGCTGATGTCAGCTGTGCTCGCCTGTGTCTGGGGTGGCCACTGCTGTAGGCTGGGCTTGGCTGCTGGTTCCGCTTCCAGCGACGGCTCCAGCTAGCTTGGCTCCCTGTGTGGGTTGGGTCCTGGTCTGCTCCACATTACTCATCCTGGGGCTGAGGCTGAAAGGCACCATCTCCCTTTGGCCGAGGCAAAAAACTATTCAGAGACACACAGTGTATCTCAAGGCTGGACTCAGAACTGATGCATCCGTTCTGCCCACGTTCCATTGGCCAGGGCGAGCCACATGCTCAAGACCAAAGCCAGCAGGCGGAGAAGTACACCTTTGCCTATACAACCATGGGGCAGAGGAGGTGGATCAAGGCGGGGGTACTAAAGAATTAGTACCAGCGATCAATCTACCAAATATGGGTTGGTGTTCTTGGTCCTCCATGCATCCCTCTTGGACCCAATACTTGGTCCTGGGACTGGTCTTATAGCAAGTGACCAGTCAGGATAACAGAAGCAGTTACCATATACCAAGCCTGCCCACCCCCACACTGGGCAGTCCTGCTGAAATTGACTTTCTGCGCATGTAGCCATCCGCAGTCATCCCAGCTACTTCTCCTGCTGTGCCCCTATAAAAATAGACTCCTTCTGTAAAAACTCCAGGCAGTCACTACCAATAGATTACAGATAGCCCAGGAGGGGAAACCGAGTTGCTATCTCTGCCTCATGATGCACCAGACACAGCGTGTATTTTGTTTAAATCTCTCAACCCTGCAAGAATGGTATCAGTCACCCCTTTTACAGGCAAGCAAAGTGAGGTTCAGAGAGGTCAAGTTACCTGAGGTCACATAGGAAGAAGGTGGCAAGGCAGGGAGTCAAACCCTGACCCCCTGGCCTCCGGTGGTCCCACCCCACCCACTCTGCTCCCCTGCCTCCCCACCCACCAGGCCGGGGGGGGCGTCACTGTGCAGCTGACCCCACGAACCAGCGGCTCTATGGTGAATCTGTCACCTGCATCGGAGCAATGCCTCCCTGAGCGTGGCCGGTACTACCAGGGTCGCCAGGCGGTGACTGCACATGGGTCCCCCTGCCTGGCCTGGGCCAGCAGTCAGGTCAAGGCCCTGAGCAAGGAACAGGACTTCAACCCTGAGGTGCCGCTGGTGGAGAACTTCTGCCGCAACCCGGACGGGGACGAGGAGGGCGCGTGGTGTTACGTGTCGGAGGACCCCGGTGGCTTCGAGTACTGCGACCTGGACTACTGCGGTGAGGCGGGGCGGGGGCCTGAGGCTGGGGACGGGGCCTGGGGGCGGGGCTGCCCCGCCGCCGGGGGCGCGGTCCGCTGCAGCCGGGTCTCCGGGCAGCCGGGCTGGCCTGGCCCCACGCGCCGCTGAACCAGCACAGGCCCGACGCCGAGTTCCCGAGGCCGCCTGCGCTGCGCTCTCACCCAGGGGCCTCCAGGGCCTCCCGGGGTGCTTGGGGGCGGGGAAGGGGGGGGGCGCTGCGCGCGGGCTGGCTCGGCCCGGCCCCAGCCGTGCCTGCTCCCTGCAGAGGAGCCGGTGGAGGAGGTGGGCGACGGGCTGGCCGAGGACCCGGACGCGCCCATCGAGGGACGCACCGGCGAAGAGGAGTTCCAACCCTTCTTCAACGAGAAGACCTTTGGCGCCGGGGAGGCAGGTGAGGCGGCGGGGGCGGCGGGGGGGCGCGGGGGGCGCGGGGTACAGCTCGGCCCCTCACACCCGGCTTGCTGTGCAGACTGTGGGCTGCGGCCTCTGTTCGAGAAGAGGTCGGTGAAGGACAAAACGGAACACGAGCTTCTGGATTCCTACATCGACGGGCGCATCGTGGACGGTTGGGACGCGGAGATTGGGCTCGCGCCCTGGTGCGTCGTGGGGGCGGCCCCCTGGGTCCCCTGCCGGGGCCGCCCTTCCCTCACAGGCCTGAGCTTCCCAGATGGTGATAGGTGGCACCCTCTGGGATTAGGGGTGTTGCTTCTCACATGCAGAAGGCGAAGCTGAGGCCCAGAGAGCTTAAGGGTTCTGACCCCAGAGCTATGCCAGGCTGTGCAAATTCTGGAACTGCAGAAGCTGGGGAGGGTTACAGAAAGCAGGAGGCAGCCTCTCGGTGTCATGTGGAGGCCGCAGTCGGCCAGGGCAGCCAGGTCAAGCTGGGGTCTGGGCCCAGCAGGCACCTCTGTCCTGCGCTTAAACCTGGGACTTTCTACTTTAGGGCAGGTGGAGGGGCAGCCAGCCCCCCAGCTCCTCATGCTTCCCACTCTCTCTCCCAGGCAGGTGATGCTATTCCGGAAGAGTCCCCAGGAGCTGCTGTGTGGGGCCAGCCTCATCAGTGACCGCTGGGTCCTCACGGCTGCCCACTGTCTCCTGTACCCACCTTGGGACAAGAACTTCACCGAGAATGACCTTCTGGTGCGCATTGGCAAGCACTCCCGCACCAGGTACGGACGGGGTCCGTGGATGTCTGGCAGGGGTCAGAGTCCTCCAGAGTGACTGGGAGGGGCTCTGGTGGCTCTGGGGGGACATGTCTGTACATGCCCCACAGTAGAAAACCCAGCAGTCTCGGCTGGAAAGGCCATTTGGCCACGTCAGGACTGAGGCTTGGAGCCGGGGAAAGAGAAACTGAGACTTCGCAGAGAGTGAAATCCTGGGCCACCCCTAGCTCCTTTGCAGGCACCAGCACGTGGCCCGGGTGTGAGCTGTGGAGGGAGGCAGTTTGGACCAGGGCTCCGGCCTGCGTTCCTCCCCGACCCGCCGGGGCTCTCTGACTCTGAAGCCTGGAACAGCTTTAGGCCTGCAGACGCTGTCAGGGCCGGAGGCAGCCCTCTCCCCTCAAGGGTGGCCCAAGGGTCACCCCCATTCCTGGACCCGGAGGGCAGGCAGGGACTGGCTGCCCTCCACCGGGTGGCTTACAGCCTCCCCCGTCTTCCTGTTTGCACAGGTATGAGCGGAGCATCGAGAGGATCTCCATGCTGGAGAAGATCTCCATCCACCCCAGGTACAACTGGAGGGAGAACCTGGACCGGGACGTGGCTTTGCTGAGGCTCAAGAAGCCCGTCACCTTCAGCAACTACATCCACCCCGTGTGCCTGCCTGACAAGGACACCGCAGTCAGGTGGGGCTGGGGGGGTGCAGGGCGGCCGGTAGTGGCCCTGGGCTGGGTTCTGGGTTCTGGGCCCGACAGACACTCCCCTTTCCAGGCCTGGGGCTGGGGGTGGGGTGGGGTGGGGAGGCTTGGAGTGAACCCAGAAATTCTTTCTGCGCCAGCGTTTGAGATTCTGGTCTCCAAGGGACAGTGTTGGGGCGGGGTGTTGGTGGGACTTCTGGAGGCGTCGGGGCTCACGAAGTCCTTCTTCCTTCCCCCCCCAAAGACTGCTCCGCGCCGGATACAAAGGGCGGGTGACTGGCTGGGGCAACTTGAAGGAGATGTGGATGTCCAGCGTTGCCGAGGTGCAGCCCAGCGTCCTGCAGGTGGTGAACCTGCCCATTGTGGAGCGGCCGGTGTGCAAGGCCTCCACTCGGATCCGCATCACCGACAACATGTTTTGTGCTGGCAAGTGCCCTGGGCGTGTCTGGGCCTTGGCCGGGGTGCGGGGAGGGCGGAGGATTGAGACACGTGAAGGGTGCAAACCCGTTCAAGTCCTGGGTCTGGTCACTTATAAGCCAAGTGGCTCTGGGCAAAGTTGCGTAACCTCTCGGAGGCTCAGTTTCTTCCTCTCTAAAATGGAGAGGCAAGTCTCTGTTCCATGAGGTTGGGTGAGGGCTAAATGAGATAGTATGTATATAGTAAGGTGCTAGGCATGGTGCTAGTCACTGGTTAAGTGGTCGATCCGTGTGAGTCCAGATAGCAGCATGAGGCCATGGGTGGGGGAAAAGCCTTGTTACTTGTCATTCAGCAAATATTTATTGAATGCCTTTTGTGGTCAGTATTTACTACAAGGACCCAAACACAATGCCTGTGTCCTCACAGAACTTCCTTCCTAGGAGGGCATGTCCATAAACAGATGTAGAATGTAGCAGAAAGGAAAATGAAGCAGAGTAAGGGGGAGAGAGAGAGATGGGGACAGGGCAGTATAAATAGACTGGTTGGACAAGGTTAGAGAAGGTCTCTCTGAGAAGAGACTAGAAGTGAAGAAGTGAGCTAGTCTAGGACAAGTGCACTCCGGGGTGAGGGAGAGCAGATGCAAAGGCCCTGGGGTGGGTACCTGCTTAGGGTGTCTGAGGAACAGCAGTGTGGCTGGAGTGCAGTAAACACAGGCAGGGCAGCAGTAGAGGGGAGGGAGGTGGGCTAGACAGAGGATAGGCAGTTCTTTTAGGGTCTGGAGGGACTCTGGTTTTTATTTTAAGATTTTATTTATTTATTTATTTATTTATTTATTTATTTATTTGACAGAGAGGCAGAGAGCACAGGTAGGCAGAGGGGCAAGCAGAGGGAAAGGGAGAGGCAGGCTTCCTGCTGAGCAGGGAGCCCGATGTGGGGCTCGATCCCAGGACCCTGGGATCATGACCTGAGCCGAAGGCAGTCGCTTAACCGACTGAGCCACCCAGGCGCCCCTCTGGTTTTTACTGAGATAGGGAATTTGGGAGGGTTGCGGGGGGGAGGTGAATAGATGGTCTAAATTAAAAATTTTTAGTATGGGGCTCTGGCTGGCTCAGTTGGTGGAACATGGTACTCTTGATCGTAGGGTCATGAGTTCAAGCCCCATGTTGGGCGTAGAGCTTACTTAAAAAATTTTTTTCTTAGTGTGATTTCAGACTCACAGAAAAGTTGCAAAAATAATATAAAGGATTCCTGTATACGGTCATCCAGATTCTGTCCCTGCACTTTGTGTGTGTCAATACACACAGAGACACATGCTGTCTGAGAGTGAATTGTACATATGCCTTGTTACCCACATACATGAGTCTATCCAGACAAGAATGTTCTTACATAGCAAGTGCAGTTGTTAAAATCAAGAAGTTAATGATACAGTACCGTTATCTAATCTGTAGACCTATTCCAGTGTCTTCCAGTTGTCCTACTTAGTAATGTCTTCTGTAGCAAAGGGGAAAAAAGTGTTCTCATCTGGATCCAGTCCAGGATCACACATTGCCTGTAGTCGTCAGTCCTTCTTTATCTTCCATGACTTTGACAGGTTTCGTAAGTGCAGCCCGGTGAGCCTGTCACTTGGCCCTGTTTGGTCTGTCTAAGGTTTTGGTTTCCTTGTGATCAGATTCAGGCCAAGTGAGGTTGTGTCCTTTTAAGGGAAGGCCCATGATGTCCCTTTGTCCTTATGTCTCACCATAACTGGGGAGATTAACTCTGACCTCTTGGTTAAGGTGGTGTCTGCATCTGGTGGTTTTCTCGCTGTGAGATTTTATTTGTAAGTATCTTGTGGGGAGCAGCTTTGACCCTCTGCATCGGTTTCCCATCAAACTGTTCTCCCAGCTCCGGGGGCTGCCAAATGGTGATTTTCCAATTCTGTCATTCCTTCTATGTTCATTATGGTTTCATTAGAAGGAAGACCTCTCCTTTCATTCTATCAGTGTGGACTCACGGGTCTTTGTTGTAAGAGTTATAATCTGCTACTATCATCATTTATTTTGATTTTCAAATTATCCAGGTTTGGCCAGTGGGAGTCCTCTCAGCCTGGCTTCTGTGACTTTTGATGTCCCTGTTGTTCCCTGAGTACCTTCTTACATTGGCACAGCAAGATGTTCTCCGATTCCCTGCTAGTGGAGAATGGTGTTTAGAAACCACAATCTGGGTGCTACGTGTGCACATTGCTACTGGGGTGTTACTGCTTCTGCGTCCTCTCAGCAGACAGATCTAGAAAATATGTGTACGATGCATACGGTGACATCTAGATCGATTTTTCTTTGTCATTTATCAGTTTCTATATCTGAAACCTCCCACTGCAATCCAGCAGGATTAATTTTAGCTTCTCCTTTTCCATATTTCTAACTCTCTATTGACAGTGAGAAACTGGACTCCTGTTACTCATCATCTAGAAGCTTACTGGATCGTTACTAGAATACATTGTTTCAGAATCACCCATCCATCTCACTGTGAGGAACAATCCTACTCACTGGCGCTCAGCATTTCTTCACAGAGTTTCTGTCTTTAGCGTCTGTACATAGTTGAAATGCTGTGTTCAAAAGGAACTTGGGTCAGTTCCCCTCCACCTTCGCTGTGTTATTTATTTAAAATACAGTTAGGCTAAGTTGTTTCTGATTGTATTCAATTTGGGGTCCCCCTCCCATCTTTGTTGTTTTTATTTCTTTTTGGAGTATTAACATGGGTCTAAAACTCAGACCCTTTAAAAGAGGTATACTTGGAGAACTGACACTCTCTTTTCCTTTCTATGCTTTTGCTACCCCCCATCCTTTCTACTCCATTTCCATCTGGGCTCTACAGTCAACCATTCTCAGTAGTTTGTGGGGTTTTTTTTTCTTCCTGTATATCCTTTTGCACAAATGAGCTTACACACACATATATTTTACCCTCCCCCCTTTTTTTTAAAGATATGTATTTATTTGACAGAGAGAGAGACACAGCAAGAGAGGGAACACAAGCAGGGGGAGTGGGAGAGGGAGAAGCAGGCCTCCCGCTGAGCAGGGAGCCCGATGCGGGGCTTGATCCCGGGACCCCAGGATTATGACCTGAGCCAAAGGCAGACGCTTAATGACTGAGCCACCCAGGCGCCCCTAATTTATCTATTTTTAAAGATTTTATTTTTAAGTAATCTCTACGTCTAGCGTGGGGCTCGAACTCACAATCCCAAGATCGAGTCGCACGCTCCACCAACTGAGCCAGCCAGGTGTCCCTCTGTTTAGGTAGGTCATTTATATCCTTATTTTTTTTTCAGTTCACTTGATCTGTCTTACACAGAGTTTGTGTTAAATTCTGCTAATGTATTTCTGTCTCCTTGAATTGCTTTATAAATGTGGTTGCTGTGCTGTTTAGTGCAGATATTCATAACTGTTATTTATTCATTGTGAATTGTGGCTTTTAGCATTAAAAGTATACTTCAAATTATTTTCAATTTCAGGATCACCATCTCTGTTCTGTTTTTTGTTTTCGTTTTTTTTTTTTTTTTTTAAGATTTTTTTTATTTGACAGAGAGAGACACAATGAGAGAGGGAACACAAGCAGGGGGAGTGGGAGAGGGAGAAGCAGGCTTCCCGGGGAGCAGGGAGCCCGATGTGGGGCTCAATCCCAGGACCCTGGGATCATGACCTGAGCCGAAGGCAGACGCCCGATGACTGAGCCACCCAGGCGCACTGTTTTTTGTTCTCATTAACCTGATATACCTTTGTCCATTCCGTTACTTTGAGCCTCTGTGAATCACTTTGTTATGTCTAGCATAGTTGGGTCTTGCTTTTTGCGAGGCAAACTGAAAGTCTTTTCCTCTTTTAATAGGTGAGTTAAGCCCATTCATATTTATTGATATGATTGAATTAATATTCATATTATTTTGTAATTATTACATGTATTATGTTTCATTTGCTCTGTTTTTTCCCTGTGCGATGTTTTCTTTGTGTTTTTAAATTTATATATTTAGGAAGGTTTGCATTTTTGTTCTAATGATTATCTTTGGGCTTCTACCTTTTTGAAATGCCCTTAGTTCCTTTTATATATATGACCTTTTAATTGTTAACTCCCACCTATTGGCTACACAGCAGTGAAGGAGTTTACTTTCCTCTTTCAAGATCATTGATATTTTTAGATGCATTTTTTTCTACTTGTCAGAACAGTTAATCAGTCCTTTTGCTGAAGCTTTCATCTCTTGGTTGGATGAAGCTTGCCGTTTAGTAGATGCTTCAACAACAGTTATGGGTGTAGAATTTCCTGTTTTTATGTGTTTATAATTATTTTGTTGTTGTCTTGACACCTTAAGCTCTGCTTGACTGCATATAAAATCCATGGCTTACATTTCCTTCAATTTTTTTAAAAAAAATATGGCTTTGTTGTTACTTTGCGGTTTTTGAAAAATCAGACGCTGGTGTAATTCTTTGGAACTTGTAAGGTATTTGGTCTCTTTTGCTTGGAGGCCTTGAAGGCTTTTTCCTTCATCTTTGAAGTTTTATTGGGTTCTGTCTCAGAGTGGAGTGTTTCAGGTCAGTTTTGTCAGCTACCTAGTATGGCTCCTTTCAGCATACACCTTCAAATCTTATTTTATTTCTGTGACATTTTCTTGGATTATGTCATAAATATTAGTTTTGTTCCATGGTTTTATTTTTCTTTTTGAGAGGTTCAGATTTCTTCTTTGGTCTGAATTCCATTTCAATCCCTTTCTGCTTTGCATTTCTTCCTATTGTTTTGTCCATTTATTTTTAATTTTTGGATTTCTGATTCAAGGCGTTTTGTTACATCGTACAAATCAGCTTGAGGCAATTTAATTCAGTTATAGGTTTCTTTTGTTTCATGGTTGTGTTTTGGGGGAGAATTTTTGTTAGCTGTTTTTTAGTCTTATTTTTTTGTTTTCCTACAGTATCTTGGTATGGATCTATTCAGTTGTCATTTTGTAGATTTGGGATCATTTACAAGATTCCAATTCAACTGCACCCACTTCTTTTTTCTAGTAGATATGTCTACTCATCTACTCATATCTCATCGCCACATAAGTGTTAATATTAGATGCACAATGTATTGATTTGAAGTTTGGGTATTCTCTGTATTCCAGTGCTGATGGTGACGGGGTGGGTGTGTAGCTTTTGTTGTTCTGCATGTTGTTCCTTACTGTTTATGGAGGGCATGTGGGGAGATTCTGGTTAAAGGCAACCGCCGTTATCCTCAAGCCACCTGTGGGTCTAACGTATTTTTAAGTCCTCTGCCTGTTGGGTGGCGAATGGATTGTACGTGGGGGGGAGTAGAATTCGGGGACAGTAGTTCAGGGGAGAGCTACATGTGCTGTGACGAGGGGTGGAAGCGGTGACAAGTGGCTGGGCTGGGATGCATGTTGAAGATGGAGCTGAGAGGCCCCATGCTAAAGGATTGCATGGGGCGGGGGATAAGAAAATGGGGAGTGAAAGAGCACCACGGAGGGTCGAGTGGACACTCGCCACCTAGGTCTCTTCAAGGGGAGTGGTGGGAGGTGAGCTGTGCAGTGAAAGCACTGCTGTTCTCTCCCCAGGCTTCAAGCCCAGTGAAAGGAAACGAGGGGATGCCTGTGAAGGCGACAGTGGGGGGCCCTTTGTCATGAAGGTAAGCGTCGCTAAAGGCTAGGAGGGTGGGTAGGCCTTCCGGGGGCTGGGGGTGAGTTAGGAGGGACTGTTTTCAGAAATAGTTGCCTGACAGGGTGCTGCTGCCATGCCTTGGACTCACCCTCTTGGAAACCCCATGTTTCTTCCTCAGAGCCCCTTTAACAACCGCTGGTATCAAATGGGCATCGTGTCATGGGGTGAAGGCTGTGACAGGGATGGAAAATATGGCTTCTACACACACGTGTTCCGCCTGAAGAAGTGGATACAGAAGGTCATTGATCAGTCTGGAAGTTAGCGGGCTGCTCACATTCTAGGCTCCTCACTGCAAAATCACAGAAACCAATCCAGCAGAATTATTTTTGTGGTTTGTTCTTAAAACTATATAGTTCTCAATAAAAGTGCCGGTCAACAAGCCTCCATGCTTCCGGTGTGTTCGTGGGCAGCTCAGAGCCAGCGCGACTGGAGGAACAGGACTTAGCGAGCCCACCACGCCTAGAACAGGGGGGCAGGTGACGGGGAGGTGGTGGCCTGAGGGGCTGAGCACTGAAAATGCTCCACACTCGGGGCTTCATGGGTTCCGTCATGTAATGCTCATGAGAGGTAGGTCAGGAGATGGACTAGAAGTATCTTGTCCAAGGTCACACAGCTGAGAAGGGTTAAAGTTGGACTTGAAACAGAAGATACTGAAGCCTGGGCGTTCAGTCGCTCTGCTGTTGGGGCGGTAAGGTGCTCGTCCCAGGACCAGAGATGAGGCAGAGGGAACAGACCAGAGCAAGGAGGGGTAAGTAGGTACATCTATCTCTTTACCTCTGACTTTCCTAGTTAAGTCCCTATATCCTTCCACATACCATTAAAGTGACATCAGATTTAATGCCCCCCAAAGTCTCAGTATTTTAAGTGCCTTCATCTGGGAGTGTTGTGGGAGAGGGCGGTGAGGAGCATGGGCCCCAGCATCCGACGGCCTTCCTAGTCTGGCGACACCCTTACAAAGAACCACGATTGACCTCCACGAGCCGGTTTCCTTACATAGACGGTATGAGGCCATTCCTTACCTAATCCGGCCGTGAGGATGAGATTAGGTAATTTGCAGCGTGTACTTGGCAGGAAGCCCAGGACCCAGTATGCGGTCCCCAGGTCACCGCCGCTTTCATTCCCCTGCTGCCTGGCGCGAGGTCCCTCTGCCACTCCCCTCCCCTGGCCCCTACCAGGAGCACGTGGGTGCGGTGCCCGCTTCCTGGACTTTCTAGTCCCATACGAGTTACAGGCTCCAGCAACTGGCTTCTCTAAGAAATGGGACCTAAAGCTGCCCTGTCGCTGCACGTTCTTCAACGTCACTGCTGGCAGAGGTCAGCGGTCCGGGCTGGAGCTCTCTGACACATGGCCTTCCGCGGGGCGCCACCAACTTCCCAGCTGCCCCTTCCGCCAGGGCATTTGTGACTCGGGAGCTGGGCACCACAGCCCGCAACCGGTGCCACGCTGACTTCCAACTGTTGTGGCCTGCGGATTGCTGGATGATTCTCGGCAGGACCGTGGCCAAGTCTCGTGCCTGAGCCCGGGGGCGAGGCGGGGGAAGAGCGTGGCCACCACCACCTTACTGCGCTTGGCCGCGAATCTTCGACGATCTTTAAACTTCGTGGTGTGAAATGGGAAGGGACCGAAGGTAGGCACTTTTACTCACTTCCCTCCCCTTTGTCTGCCCTTCCCATTTTTCAGTACATCAAGGAACAGAGAATTGGGCCTGAGTTTCTGGCCCTTGTTGTTTGGTTCTGGTCGACCAGGAAGCAGGATAAAAACAACTGGGAGTTCCGTGAGTTTGCAGGACCTTGGCAGCCCAGAGCTTTCACCAGAGCGGGGAAGGGATTAAGAATTAGAATATCCCAACTCTGCTTTTGAAACCAGGGTTCACATTTCCAAGACTCCCTCCAACATAGCTTTAAGACCCAAGCACAGCCACTCTTTTCCAAATGCTTCATCCCAGCCCAGCAGCGACCGAACTCTCTGCCTGCCTTCCAGGGAATGGCTACTCCCCCGACCCCACTGCAGGGGGGAGAGGGAAGTGTGATTTCAGGCAGCGCAGGCCCCACCTGAAAAGCTCGACTAGAATCAACAGAGGATTCATTTTCCGTCAACCTTTTATTTCTTGAGCGCCGGCTGGGTAAAAGATCATCTATTAGAATTTCTTGACCCTCCTGGCTGCCCAGGAAGTTGCCCATCTGAATCCAGAGCCTCTCAGTACTAATGAGTTTTTCTGACCGTGGAGGGAGACCCTGGCGAATTTATTCTGGAGGCGACTCCTCTGTTCACTTTCCAGTCCTCACTCAACCTGAACGAGAAGCAACTATGGGTCTAGACTCAGAGGGGCCCCGAAAAGCACGTGGGAAGCTCCTTCGGTCAGAGGCCCCCGAGTCCAGTCCCTGTGCGGAGAGCACTGCAGCCCGGCCCGTCCTGGGCCCCAGCTCACTGCAAAGTGGCAGGAAGCCCGAGGGCTCCGTGGCACCGCAGTGCTGATGGGAGGGAAGTCATGACCAGGACCTCAAGATGGGGGAAGACAGGGACTGATCCGTCCCCCCACCCCGGGAGCTGCTCCTGTTCCAGGGGAGCAGAAGCATGAGTCTGTGTGCCCCGACGAGGCGTGCTCCTCACGCGGTACCTTCTCCGCTTCCGCTGGCTGGGTGGCTAGCCGGTCCCAAGGATACGTGACAGCTGCCCAGGTATGGAGCATCTTGGGAGACCGTTCTAGTTAATGCAAACTTTATTTATAAAAGACTCTTAAATTAGTTGTATCATGCCATGCATTCATACAGAATACAGTTGACCCTTCAGGGCTACGGGGAGAGGAGCTCACAAACTCAAAAGGAGAACTATTAAAGAGTTTCTAATAGTGAAAAGCTAGGAAAGATCGGGACGACTTTACAAATGAGCAGTTAAAAATAAAAGACAAAGGCTGTGGAGACTAGTCGGAGCCGAGAGGAGGGCAGCTGTTGACAAGTCTGTGCACTAAACTACAACACGGACAGTCGGCTAGAGGCAGGGCGCCGGCGGAGAAGCAGTACGGACAGAGGCCCGCGTGGGGCCGCCTCCGCAGGTCCGAGCGCCGGGCCCGCCGAGCCCCTGCCGCGAGGGGGACGCCGAGTTTAGTGACCTAGAGCTGCGGGGCACGGGCCGGGGGCGGCTTCACTTGCGACTGCTCTTTATCCTCTCCAGTCTCTTTTTCAAGTCGTCAATGTTGGCTGTGGAGGACGAGGACGTGGTCACGGCTCCGGCAGAGTGAGTGTGGTTAGAATCCAGGTCCGAGTGCTGGTGCTGCTCCCGGGACTCCCGGAGCTGAGAGAGCTTGCTGTGCAGCATGTCGGTGGAAGAGGCGACCGGGGGGGCTGCTGGCTTGGAGAGCAGGGAGGTCAGCGGGGGCCGCTCGTCTTGCTGTGGAGAGAAGGAGACACAGCGGCGGAGCAGGTCAGGCCCCAGCTCGGGGAGAGCGGGCCGGCCTGGCCCTGCGCACACGGAAGGGAAGGAGCGCTACCTTTGTGTTGTCCAGACCACACCGCTGGCGGAGGATTTTGAGCCTTTCCAGGTAGACAGACGGTCCCACCTCCTCTCCGTTTGTGTTCCCTATGGAGGACACCGTGCTTGGGGGGGCGGGCATACACGTGACCTCCGTCTGCGGGGAGACGCCTGGAGAGGAGACGGGGAGAGGACACTCCAATGCACACACGTCCCAATTCCAGACCGCCCGGGCTCATCTGTCGCCACAGGGAACGATTTGGGGCTTGGATATCACCACTGTAAAGACTAAAAAAATCCACCAAAGTCCCATCTGGAGTTGGTGATAAAGGGTGCTCTGAATTATACTAGATAAGCTGAGCAAGAACTTCAAGAAACAACAGAGCAGAGCGTAAGCTGGGCTGTCTGCCCACATCCTGGGATCCGCAGGGGGCTGGCAGCCTGTTATCCGGCCGCTGGCCTGGGCCATCCAAAAGCCTAGGCTGCTCCCGAGGCTACGGTGTCCAGCTGAAGAACGCCTGGACTTGAAATGCTGGCAACAATTAGACTAGGTCTGGACCAGGTGATACACAGAGAGAAGTGCTTATTCACACCAGGGAAGAGAACAAGGAGCTCAAGGCGAAAGTGTATGCATGGGGAAGAGGCAGAAACGCAGGTGTCCAACACCCCAAAAGAGGGACAGGAACGGCGCATCTGTCACCCCCAGCATAGAGAACAATATTCTGGCGGGAGAGGGAAAAACCAGAAAAATCTATCACGGTTCTTAACGTTCTGAGAAGGAACAATCACAAAATATAGGCATTTAAAATACCCAATTTGGTATCAAAGAAAACACATTATATAAGCCAAAAAGATGTGGTCTTGGGAAGAAAAATTCCCTTACGGTAAATCGCAAAGTAGCAAGCACCAAAGGTTACTGTATAGGAAGAAAGGAATCTTTAATGTAAACAATCGGAGAATTTGCTGCCCGGGGGCCAGTGACTGAGGAAGGACGTGAGGGCCAGTGGGGAGGGCTGCTGTCTGAGCACTCCCCGCACGCAACCACTCCGGAATCAGTGGGGTCACATGCGCGAGCTGCACATGTGCTGTGGATGTCACCAGAAGGGACTTGGGAAGTGAGAAAGGGGGCCCCACCTCGATCAAGCAAACCGTGGTATGTCTGCTTAGCACCTCTGACCCGCCATACAGTGTAGTATTTGGTAGGTTGTTCCGTGTCTGTGTCTGCCCTTGTGGATTTTAAATTCTAGCAGAGGTTTCTGTCTGTTGCCTGGCACGGGGGAGGCACTCAACGGGTCCTGCCGAATGACAGGAACGACAGCTCATCCATCCTAACGTCAGGCTGAAACATTACCCACCCCGCAGTGAAAACGCCAGTGTCTGCCAATTACTGTTTACAGGAGCTAGAGCCAAAGAGAAGACTCTGGAGGTGTCAGTTACAGAAAACAGCGGTCAGGAGCCTTATACCAAAAGAGAGACCCCGTTCCCCGTGCAGAGTTGAGCACGCACGTCTGTCCCACATTTACTTCTTTGTGAGTTCCCTGAAACTCCTACTCTTAAAATCTCGCATCTGTTTGCCTCTAAGACCATGTTCCTTTGTGGTTTTCAGATTATAATCATGTTCCCTCTCACCATGTATCTTGCTGGGCTGAAGCTTCAATTGTGTTCTTAAATTATTTTTGTTTTTTAACACCTGAAATTGTGCCTCTCCAAGACCTTAAGAGTCTTTCCCTTGAAGTGTGATGAGCAGAATGTCTACATATGGAAGGCATGCTACATATGGACATACCATGTGCTTGATCAAAGGGTGGAGGGTAGGCTGCAAATTTTAAGAAAGGTCTCACTGAGTGGCATCTGGACAAAGATCTGAAGGAAGAGAAAGCGCTAGTTACAAGGCTATCTTGGCCAAGAGCAAT